ACCTCGTGATCCACCCACCTCGGCCTCCCAAAGTGCTGGGATTACAGGCTTGAGCCACCGCGCCCGGCCCTTTTCTTTTTTCTTTTTCTTTTTGAGACAGAGTTTCCCTCTTGTTGCCCAGGCTGGAGTGCAGTGGTACGATCTCAGCCCACTGCAGCCTCTGCCTCCTGAGTTCAAGAGATTCTCCCGCCTCAGCCTCCCAAGTAGCTGGAATTACAGGCATGTGCCACCATGCCTGGCTAATTTTGTATTTTTAGTAGAGACAGGATTCTCCACGTTGGTCAGGCTGGTCTCAAACTCCTGACTTTAGGTGATCCACCCATCTCGGCCTCCCAAAGTGTTGGGATTACAGGTGTGAGCCTGTTCGCCCAGCCAGCTTAGAGATTTTCTACAGAAGAACAGAGATTTCCCAATTATGTTCTGATGCTATCTTTATTTCATATTGGATATATAGTAATGTATTTAAACAAACTCCTACTGATGGACATTTGATCTGTTTCCAATCTCTTCCTATAAAAAAATGCTTCAATGAATAATCCTTTTCCCCAATTTATAATAATACCTTTGTTTTCATACCTTGTTTATCTGAAATGAACTTTAGAATTAAGCCTACTTCCAAAAAAAGGATATTAAGTTACAAATCAACTTGGAGAAAGCTTACAATTTTACGGTACAATAAAGGAAAGCCTCAGAATGGAAGAAGGAAAATCTTAGAACAAAATTTATATTCCAAATTTTATATTCTAATATATCTCAGTCTGGACAAAAAGACCAGACTGAGATATATTAGAAGACTCTGGGCAAAATGTATTCAATATGATGAAACTGACAGAATACATTACATTCTGAATATCATGAAGAAATTTGGTCAAATACCAGATAATTTAGGGTGCTGATGTAGGCAAAATGATAACTATACTTGGTGGAAAAGGGTGAAGTGGTGTGTGTGTGTGTTCGTTCTGGGAATTCAGAGTGAGAAAAGAGAGTTCAATTCTTGTCTTCTTTAGCAGTAGGTCAACAGATATGGCCTAAAACCGAAATATGAGGATGCTGCAATAGAGGTAGGTTGAGTATCACTTTTCAGAAATGCTCGGGATCAGAAATATTTCATATTTTTGTTTTTTAAAAAATGTTGGGACTGGGCGTGGTGGCTCAAGCCTGTAAGGCCAGCACTTTGGGAGGCCGAGGTGGGCGGATCACTTGAGGTCAGGAGTTCAAGGCCAGCCTGGCCAACATGGTAAAACCCTGTCTTAAAAAAAATTTTTTTTGGAATATTTGCATTATACTCACCCAGGTGAGCATCTGAAAATCTGAAATCTGAAATGCTCCAACAAGCATTTCCTTTCAGTCAGTACTCAAAAAGTTTTAGATTTTGGTGCATTTTAGATTTTGGGATGTTCAACCCATATAAACATACTAATTCAGAAATAACATCTATGTTACCTTAAATACTGACAATTATTTTTCTTTCCTCCTAATCCTTCTACCATTTCATTTACTTGCCTTATTGCTCTGGCTAGAATGTAAAAGAGAAACAGTCAGAATCCTTGTCCTGCTCCCCATCTTGGGCTTTCAATAATTTACTATGAAGTAGAATGTTTTGTGATAAATTTTTTGTTGATGCGCTTTTTGAGATTAAGAATACATACTGAATGTTAATCAGATACTTTCTCTGCAGCTATTAAGATGATTTCATCATTTTTCTCCTTTAATCTGTGATCATGCACCATCATAATTGTATTTTTGAATGTTAAGACAACTTTCATTCCTGGAATAAATCCAATTTGGTCATGATATGTGTTGCTGAATTCAGAATACCAAAGGAAAATGAAAGAAGTGAAAGTGAGGTAGACAATATAGTACTGTTTTCCTTAAGGAACCTTTATAATTATTCAACTTTTCAATGACGTGCATATATAATTTTGACTCATGGAAAAATCATGATATGGAAACATCATCACAATATAGAAAAATTAATGGTACAAGGCAATATGTATTGTCTTAAATCTTTTGTGTAAAAAATAAGAGGTAGAAAAGACTGTACTGTCATACGTGATTGTATAAGCACGAAACTCTAAAGGGTAAACAAACAGTGGTTACATGTGGGGATGGAGTGAGAGTGAAACTTTTCAGAGTGTTTGTATTTTAAATTTGAACCAAAAATGTATTATTTTTAAAAGTTAAACTGGAAAAATATGTTGAATAAATGATGATAAAGATTAAAACAGCTGGGAATGGTGGCTCACACCTGTAATCTCAACATTTTGGGAGGTCGAGGCGGGTGGATCACCTGAGGTTAGGAGTTTAAGACCAGCCTGGCCAACATGGTGAAACCCTGTTTTTTTTTTTTTTTTTTTTTTTTAAAAAAAAAAAAAAAAAAGATTAAAACAGAAGATACAGATGTACAGATACATCTATAAAAGCTAAAAAACAGCAGATTTGTAAAGTCTTTCTTTCCATCTTTACAGAATAAACAATTTGTAAAAAATATTCTAATAAAACATTCTAATGAATGCTAAGATTATGACTTATTCAAGGTAACAGTAACTATGGCAGACCATAATTTTCATCTTCTGACTCCTGCACCATTCACTGCTCAGGAGTTTGACAAACATAATATACATTTAAAGTGTAAATGAGTATGTTTTCTAACACCATGCATATGCTGAAAATACTCACCTTGTTCTGAATGAAGAGGAATGGAAGTTCTATGACACTCCGTAAATCCAGCATGAGAACTCACACGTTTCAAAGTGTTTTCAGAAGTACTGTCATTCTGTGAACACCGTGCATATGTATAATTTGAAAACAACTGAACTAAATTTCAACCCATTGTTCTAAGTAGTTTAGGAGTCCCCTGATTAATGTTCAACATGCTTTACTCTACCTGGACACCAATGGGTATATTACAGATTACGGTTTTCTTCAAAGCCAACTTCAAAAACTGCACCAAAACACCCTATTTGCCTACTGTTCATAAACTCATCCTAATGGATTTTTTATAATAATAAAAACTCACAGAAAAGTTGCAAAAACTATACAAAACTGTGGGGGGAAAATGAAATTACTACCAATTCACTTCATTCCCAAAAAAGCTATTCTTACACATATGTTGACACACTGATAACATTAATGGCAGGGGAGCTACTTCTTTTAAAGGATCTTGGTAACTTTTTAATTGGTTCTATGAGCTACTTATACAACAAGGTTATCTATCTGCTTACTCTTTGTCAAATTTCAATCTGTTTTCCAAATTTGTTTTGACTTTATGTTTTTTAGGTATTTAAATTTTTCCCTTAATATTTTTCTATTATTTATGTGTTTGGAAGGCCTTGGCTGCTTTACTGGCACAATAAATATTGCTATTTTCTTTTTTGGGGGGGACAGAGTCTCACTGTCACCAGACTGGAGTGCAGTGGTGTGATCTCGGCACACTGCAACCTTCGCCTCCCGGGTTCAGGCAATTCTCCTGCTTCAGCCTCCCAAGTAGCTGGGACTACGGGCGAGTGACACCAGGTCAAGCTAATTTTTTTGTATTTTTAGTAGAGACGGGGTTTCACCATGTTGGTCAGGATGGTCTCAATCTCGACTTCATGATCCACCCACCTTGTCCTCCCAACGTCCTGGGCTTACAGGCGTGAGCCACTGCACCTGGCCAAATATTATTTTCTTAAAATGTTTCCTGTGATTTGAATTTTTACATTTAATTCTGGAATTTATCTGAGCTTATAAAATTATATGAGAACATAAACAGACTTTTCCAAATTCATACCCAATCTGTATTTACTGACAAAGCAATCCCTTCCTTAATAATTTTGAATCCAACCCTCTTTGCTACATACTTCTTTAAGACAGGCTCTTGCTCTGTCACCTAGGCTGAAATGCAGTGGCATGATTACGGGGGTCAAACAATCCTCTCACCTCAGCCTCCCAAGTAGGTAGAAACACAGGTGCATGTCACCACTCCTGGCTATTTTTTATTTTGTGGAGTGACAGGGCCTCCCTATGTTGCCCAGGTTGGTCTTAAGCTGTTCGGCTCAAGTGATCATCCTGGCTTAGGCTCCCAAAGTGCTGCAATTACAGGCATGAGCCAACACACTCATGACCTCTGTTACAGTTTTATTTTTAGAAGGGTTACTTCTATGTTAGCAGAAATGCTTCCTTACATTTTTATGTATCAACTGTTCTGGCTGCATAATATTTTAGGATCCAACAGCTAATCCCGCTTGCTTTCTTCTTCTTACCTATTTTTCCAGATGAACAAATGAATTACATTCAACAATGTGGGTAATAAATGACACTTTCACATTTGTGTTCTCAACTGATAAATAGGTCACTTTTTATAAAACTTTCAACTATTTTGAAACCTCTGCCACCTATCAGAATCAGTAAGTTTCAAAATGTTACTACTGCAATAAACTAGAATTTTCATTCAATTAATTTATATCTGAAGGAAATACAGTTTCTCTGGCTTTGATGTTCCATGCTCCTCACATTACAGTGGATTATACAGCCAGCGAAGTGCTGACTTTTTTCCTGTAGTCACAAAGCAGACTCTAATTTCTTGTCTGATTTAAACTGTTTCTCCTGAAAACAGTTCTAACTATTTCTTGTTTGTTTTAAGGACTTTCCTTAGTATACTCTTTGATGCCATGATATATCAGTTTCATAGAACGACTGATAACAAGAATTTACTTTTTTTGATAGGGTTGGAGTCTCACTATGTTTACCAGGCTGGTCTCAAACTCCTACTCTCAAGTGATCCTCCTGCCTTAGTCTCCCAAACTCCTACTCTCAAGTGATCCTCCTGCCTTAGTCTCCCAAAATGCTGAGATTACAGGCATAAGCCACTGTGCCCAGCCAATGATAGGAACTCTAACTTGGAATTCATAGATAAGCTTCAAGGCATCTATGAAACTACCTTACTAGAAAAATTTTATCTACATGCATTTTTGTAGTAAGAGAGTCTGTAGTTTTCCTTGGATTTTTAAAGAGGTATATGCCCTAAAAATGGTCAAAAACTAAGTCTCTGACCATCATAAACTAGAACTCATTATTCTGTTTTTATTATTTGAATTATTTTCCTCTAATTACTCAGTTGTTTAAATCGTCCAGGTGTGGTGGCTCATGACTATAACCCCCAAACTTTTGGAAGGCTGAGGTGAGTGGACTGCCTGAGCTAAGAAGTTCGGGACCAGCCTGGCCAACATGGTGAAATCCCGTCTCTATTAAAAATACAAAAATTAGCTGGGCATTGTAGCACATGCCTGTGATCTCAGCCACTTGAGGGGCTGAGGCAGGAGAATCACCTGAACCCAGGAGGTGGAGACTGCAGCAAGCCAAGACCATACCATTGCACTCCAGCCTGGGTGACAGGGCAAGACTCCATCTCAAAAAAAAAAAAAAAAGTTTAAATCAAAACACAGCTACTACTTTTCTGCTAACTCACAGAAACTTGAAATTTCTTGTTTTTATCAGATGGAGCACCTGCCACTTAAAAATTTCCAGCACGGTCCTCTTTAAGTTCAGTACTGAAAAGGTGGAATCTGTGGGAAAATCCTGATGCTTTACCTTTTCCCGTTAAGAAATGTCCATTTATAATACAAAAATTAGCTGGGAATGGTGGCGCGGGCCTGTAGTCCCAGCTACTCGGGAGGCTGAGGCAGGAGAATTGCTTGAACCCAGGAGGCGGAAGTTGCGGTGAGCCGAGACCGCGCCATTGCACTCCAGCCTGGGTAACAAGAGCGAAACTCCGTCTCAAAAAAAAAAAAAAAAGAAATGTCCATTTATCCTAAATTTTATTTCTTATCTATATTGAGTGCTTCACAATACCAAAATATTACCACCAGAGTGTGGCAATACAACAGTAATTTGTGTAAAGAAAAAGAAAATGTAATAAACTAAGGTTTAAATAATTCTACATTATAAACGGCTTTACTAAAACTTACGAAGGTCCATAAAACACTTCATTTACCTATAAAGTCCACTTCGATCCTATATGGAATACAGACACACCATGTGTCATACTGCAATAATTATAAAATCAATTTGGTAGACAGCAGTCTGTTCTTTCTACTTCTTTTAATTTAAAAAAATTTTTTAGTTTTTTTTAAATAAAATTTAAAATTATTTAAAAAAATTTTCTTCTGTTTACTTTTTCTATCCTACAGCAAAATGTTCTTTCTACTTCTTAGCACTTTTTCTCATTTCTGTTTTTCTTCTTTGTCTTTTCTTTTTTTTTTTTTTTGAGACGGAGTTTCGCTCTTGTTACCCAGGCTGGAGTGCAATGGCGCGATCTCGGCTCACTGCAACCTCCGCCTCCTGGGTTCAGGCAATTCTCCTGCCTCAGCCTCCTGAGTAGCTGGGATTACAGGCACGCACCACCATGCCCAGCTAATTTTTTGTATTTTTAGTAGAGACGGGGTTTCACCGTGTTGACCAGGATGGTCTCGATCTCTTGACCTCGTGATCCACCCGCCTCGGCCTCCCAAAGTGCTGGGATTACAGGCTTGAGCCACCGCGCCCGGCCTTCTTTGTCTTTTCATCACATGTCAGCTAAGGCTACCTAAGTGATCTCAATCCATTTATTTACCTCTGTCAGTCTAAATATGCCTCAATTAAAATGGTTAGAAAACACTGCAAATTATAGTCTTATGATAGGTCTGCTGAACCTATACCTATTTCCTCCATCTAAAAGCACATGGGTATATTTTAAGCTGACTTTCTGACTTTTGCATATACTAAAGAGACTTTATGTCATATTTAGGCATCTCTGTATACTCCATAGTCAAATTTCTTACATCATTCTGCTGTTCCTATTTGAGGTAAAAAATCATGCAACTTTTTCAAACTTAAAGGCAAATACAGAAAGGACAAAACCTAGGTAATCATTACACCTCAATTTGCATATAATAACCATTTAATTCCAAGTTATCAATATCTAGCTAATAGATATTGAACTAAGTTAATCGATTTAGTACAGTAATTTAATCAAAATACATGCTATTAAAAATATAAAATGTCAGAATATAAAAATGCATTTGAGTCTACTTTTTATATGTGGTGTAGTAAATAATACGGCCTGACAGCAATTTCATAATCAACTTGGATCACATAAAAAGTAAACATTCACAGAAACTCCTATATCATTATCATTTCCTTGGTTCTCGCTTTAAGGAAAGGCCCCCCTTTTCACTGTCTATGTCACTTAATCATTTCCATAATGTAATTTCTTTAAGGGCCAGAGAAGTTTAATGCCTTTCTAGGTGTTTTTAATTACCTTCATGTAGCCACGTTACTATTCTTAAGGCTTTAAATAGCCACAAATAATATATGACAGCAACATTTAAGAAGTAAAAACTAACCTTCAGGCAAGAAATACACCTTTTTTAACTAGTTGTTCTATATATTTTGAAACTTATTTAACAAACATTTATCGAATATCTTGCATGTGTACATAACCTTGAGCTTCTCACAGCTACACAACAGGTTTCTAAGAGTCTGGGTCATGTTCTAATAAACCTGAATCTGGGAAAAGTGAGCCCATTAAGTATTTAATCAGTGGAAAACATATGGGGAGAAGAATTTTAAAAAGATAAATGTTAAATAGGTGATGTTTTTTACTTAGTAAAATTATGCAAGCCATTTGTATCTTTCCATGTTCCTAAATTGTTCATTTTTTCAAATTGAGGATAGTTTCAAATACTTGGTATCAGCATGTTAATAATGACATGTGCAAAAACTGTATTTTTACTAAAAAAATAAACTTTGAACTAAACATCAAGAGAGCAAAATAAATAGTATTGTGGGTGTTTTAATATTTACTTACGGATAGTATTTCTTTTATCTTGTTTGACGTTTCTTTAAACTTCTGTAAATCCATGCTATCTCTGTGTCCTTTCACAGAAAAGAGATTGCAATGGGAAATTTTTATTTTTCTTCATCAAAATAATGGCATTGCTTAAAGTTTACGAAAATAAGTGATTTATGCTATTTTCGAAGACCTTTTGATGGCTTTGGAATATTCCTTAGCTCTTTTGATAAATAAAATTGAAAATATTTACCAAGAAGCTGATGAAGATTATGGCTGTTGTTTTTTTTGTTTTTTTTTTTTTGAGGCAGAGTCTTGCTCTGTCACCCAGGATGGAGTGCAGTAGCATGATCTCAGCTCACTGCAACCTCTACCTCCCAGGTTCAAGCAATTCTCCTGCCTCAGCCTTCCAAGCAGCTGGAACTACAGGAATACATCACCACACCCAGCTAATTTTAGTATTTTTAGTAGAGATGGGGTTTCAGCATATTGGTAAGACTGGTCTCGAACTCCTAAATCTCCTACTTTGGCTCCCAAAGTGCTGGGATTACAGGTGTGAGCCACCACACCCGGCCAAGACTATAGTTAAGTTTACAGTAATGATAAAAGCCAAACTCCTTATAAAAGAAACCAACATGTGATATGAATAAATAGCTTGAAATTTAAAAGAAAAAAGGGGAACGAGCATTTTTTCTATTAATAAAAAAATACAGAAAAGCATTACATATATAATCACTCAGAAAGCAATGATTTATTCTTATACATGTAACTTAAGAACAGAAAAAAATACTTATTTTGGCAATAACACTTCGATGACTTTAGTAAAAACTGTTTCATGCATAGAGATTGTTAAGATAATATGTTAATAAGCCCATGTAAAAATTGCCACATTAAGGGCAGCCTAGCAAGTTATTTTAGGCATTGAACATGCTGGTATTTACTGCTAGGCTATATGGAATTCATTCTAGATATATAAATACATAACTTTTCCTATATAATCTGTAAATAGAGAAAATACATATAATATATACATATACCCCACTGGTAATACATTAATAAAAAGGCTAAAATGCATTTTTAAAAATAAATTGGAAAAGATTTAATGTAGGAAAAGTTATGTATCTATATATCTAGAAGTGAATCCCATATAGCCTAGCAGTAAATATCAACATGTTCAGTGCCTAGGCTGGCACTTAATGTGATTTTCCATGGGCTTATTAACATATTGTCTGAACAATCTCTATGCATGGAAGTTTTCACCAAGGTTACTGTGTTACTGCCAAAATAAATATTTTTTGTGTGTTCTTATCTTATTTAAGCTATCATTGTATAAAAATAAATCATTCCTTTTTGAAATGTTCTCCTCTGTGAATATATAAATAAGTAGACCATAACTACTAACCTTCCCAGTAGATTCCTAGATTTCCATTGTTGTTCTGATGTAATTATTAACAGTGTTACCCCTTCACTTTCAAAGTGTTTTGCTTTGGATAAAAAATTACAACAGCCACCGGTCTTGGTGGCTCACGCCTATAATCCTAGCACTTTGGGAGGCCGAGGTGGGTGGATCACCTGAGGTTAGGAGTTCAAGACCAGCCTGGCCATCATGGTGAAACCCCATCTTAAAATAAATAAATAAATAAATAATAGCCATCTATTTACAGTACACTGCTCTTTTCCAGCTGCTTCTAACCTCCCCTAGGAGGTTCTCCACATACTTAACACTTATGAATCACTCAAGTCCTTTCAAGAGGAGTTATGAAATCCAACTGAAGATATTTAAATTCAAAAGACAGAACCTAAAATCTTACAGCCTGATTCCATCTATTTTCCTTATTTCTTTTTTTTTTTTTTTTTTTCATTTTTAGAAACAGCGTCTCATTCCATCACACAAGCTGTAGTGTAGTGGTGTGATCACAGCTCACTGCAGCTTTGAACTCCTGGGTGCAAGCAGTTCGCCTGCCTGAGTAGCTGGGACTTCAGGCACATGCCACTATGCCTGGCTACTTCAAAAAAAATTTTTTTTAGTTTTTTTTAGTTTTGCTATGTTTCTCAGGCTGGTCCTGAACTCCTGGGCTCAAGCAATCCTCCCAGCTTAGCCTCCCAAAGTACTGGAATCACAGCTGTTTGATTCTTTTTAAAAATTTTATAATTATACTCTATGAAAAGATAATGACTTGTAATGCAGTACATGTTATTAATTATTTTTAAGGTGATAATTTTTCTTAGGTGAAAAATAAATATTGATATACAAATATGAATTTGCCAAACTTACCTACAAATGCTCCAAATTCTATATTATCTCCTTCTGTAACTTTAGAGCAAACAGTTTCTTGATCTTTGGTTACAGTTTCCAAGTGGCTTTTACAACTTGGCTGAGATGGTGTACTAACAAAAAATTTGGTTGGTGGGGATGATAGATGTGGTATACTATTAGATGAACTGCCTAATTTTTGATTTTTATTAAATATTTTTAAGAGTTCTACTCCATGTAGTCTCTGTCGCAGTTCTGGAGGGGAAACAGCACTTGGGAATAAGGCACCAGAAGAGGAACCAGCCTCTGGACAATTAAATTCTTTTCTCTGGGCTACTGCAGGTAACTCTTGACCAAATATATTACATTGGGGATCTTTGTCATCTTTCATTAAAATATTAGAAAGAAAAGGATTATGACTTTCAAGATCACTTTGAGGAAGAGAGGAGCTAAGCGTATTTACAACACTATGCTTTTTCCATACAGAAGGTCTTATAGGACCATCACCAATAAGGTTTTGAGCCAAGTGTTTGGAAATGCTCAATTCTCGTGTGATTTCATTATGCACTTTGCTAGCCTCTGATGCTTTCTGAGCGGTGAGTGTTTTTAATGTATCTACCGTCAAGGCTGAAAGATCTTGCAAATGGCCAATTTGAGAATCTAATGATTGTAATGATCTTTTTATGTAGTTGACACGATCTCCAACTTCTTTAATCTGAATGCACATCTGTTCCACTCTGTAGGAGAAAAATGAGCTTTTTTTACAAATGTGAAAAAATAATGTAGAAACTTATTTTGTAGCCTCAATAATAATGATAAAAAGAGAACAGTTTTACATGCATTTAAACAAGATATAAATAAGGTACAGTTATTTAATTATACAAGGCTTACCTTATATTTAAGGATCCAGTGCTAATCTTATACTAAAATGCAAGATTTCAAAAACCATTTTTGTTCCACAGACTATTTACTCCAATTATCCCACATCAAAGTAACATACAAAAAAGTATATACAGCTACATATACATAGAACTACCATTACTGTTACTGTAATTACACCAAACACCATATGCTTCCAAATGTAGTGAAGCCAACAGAAAAAAAGAAATGCTGTAAAATAGTGAGGATAGTTTTAGTTTTCTCCCTCCAAACAATAAAGAACACTAACTCTTCTATTCTCTGTAACTAGGGTAAAAAAATAAAGAGATTGACTGATTGACTTGTATGGATTAATAGAATTATCTTTCCAACATACAATGTAAAACTGTCACTAAACTTATTGTTTGATAAAATAAATTTAACAATGACCATGTATAAGATATATTACTAATAGATCCCATTTTGACATATAATCAATTTTAACCAAAGGGCTCTGAACCTTTCAAACGTGACACGAATTCTCTCTTCACTCCCAGAATGAAATTTGTCATCTTTTTCATTGAAATACATCTCAACACACTGCTCTTCAAAATCATGAAGTTTCTTTTGATCTTCTTCTGTTAAGAAAAGTTCTACGGGAGGAAACGGAGATGAAAATCAATGAAGAGCTGTCAAGGTATCAACTTTAGTTTGTAATTCTTGTGAATTATTCAGAGTTTCTAAGACTACATCCATCATCTGCGCTTTTTAAACTTTTACTACTATGATTCTAAAGCACTAGACTACTATCCGTTTTTGCTTCACCTCTATGATGTCAACAGAATACGATCAGGTACTTTCTCTTCCTCTTCTGATTTCCTTTTACTACACAACATCCCTCCCCTATCTCTCTCATACCTCTCCCTCACATATCCACTCAGAGAAATTTAAGAACTAATCTGATAGAACACAAAGTCCCTATAAAATCTTAAGCATAATTTGACACGATATGATTAGTTTCATGTCATATACAGAATATACTAAAATTGTTTTTTTATAGAGCTATAAAAATAGTTTGTAGAACGGCAAAGAAGTTAGGTTTAAATTCTCATTTTAACAAAAACAGAGATGCCATTCTCAAAATGAAGTTTAATGCTAAATCCATTTTTATAGATATCATATTGCACTTAAAAATTCCTTTATGTTGTTTCCTATGTTCCATTTTATAGGAAAAAAAATTCCTTTATGTTTAGGCAAATTTAACAAAAACCTTTACCATAACATTAACTCACTAAGTCATTTTTGAATAAAATCAATATATAGCCTTCAGTGTAAAACTGAGAAGTGATAAAATGAAAACATTTGTCTTAATATTAGTTTACTTACTTGGTCCATCCGAAGTCTTATCTTTCTTTCTTCTCTTACATATGCAGCAAAACAGAGAAACTATATGGCTAAGAATGATAAGTGGAGGAGGCAGAACTGGTTTCTCATGATAAGCCATAATAAAATGATAACGCTGGTACTTCCATACAATATTGGAAATTGCCTTCACTTGTAAATAGACATTGCTAGAGAAATAATAAATAAAAATAAACTTTGCTAATCATCTCTTAAAGTTTTAAGTACTGATGATTTTATTGTAATTCTGTACTAAATAATAATTCAAAAAAAAATCCTTCCATAAACAAAACTAACAGCAAATGAGAAACTGGAAAAGATACAGGCAATAAGTATAATGCAAAAGCTGACACTGCTGAGAAGCTTAATCACAACTTCCCAAAAGTATCAGCAGAAAAAAAATGATCAAAAAAATTTCAAATATATTGCAACTTCATCAGAGAACACGAACCAAAGGGGAAAAAAAAGAAAAAAAATTCAAATATTGTATGTAAATGGGTAAGACATAAGAAAATACTCAATCTTAGTAGTAATCAACTAAGTGCAAATTTTAAAAACCAAAATCCTGGCTGGGCATGATGGTTCATGTCTATAATCCCAGCACTTTGGAAGGCTGAGAGGCAGGAGGACTGCTTGAGGCCTGGAGTTCAAGATAAGCCTGGGCACCATAGTAAGACTATTTAGAAACAAAAAAGTTAGCCAGGCATGATGGTGTATACCTGTAGTTCCGGCTACATCGGAGGCTGAGGCAGGGACTGCTTGAGCTCAGATGAAGAGGCTACAGTGAGCTGCGATAGTGTCACTGCACTCCAGCCTGTACAACAGGCTGCCTCAAAAAATAAATATAAAGTTACTTTATTTACTATCAAACTTGCAACCATTAAAAAAATAATACTTAGTGTGGGCAGAGAGTTGAGGACACAGGCCTATTTAGACTTAAAAGCAAAAAGCCCTAAAAGTACATATATTGAACAGTCCTACTTTTAGAAAAATATTCTAGGAAAATAAACATTGCTCAAAGATTTAACTACAGTGTGGTGTTTAGGAGCAAGAATTACAATTTAACTGACCATAACATACTGGATTAAAATGATGGTCTATATCATGGAATATCAGGTAGCCATTAAAAATAGACTGAAGATGAGTATTTGTTGATCTGAAATAATCTTCATGATACTTTGCTTACTGATAAACAGTACATAAAACAGAAAAACAGGCTAGGCACAGTGGCTCATTCCTGTAATCCCAGCACTTTGGGAGGTTGAGGTGGATGGATGACTTGAGGCCAGGAGTTCGTGACCAGACTGGCCAACATGGTAAAACATCACCTCTACTAAAAATACAAAAAAAATCAGCTGGGCATGGTGGCGCACACCAGTAATCCCAGCTACTCAAGAGGCACTAGAATCGCTTGAACCCAGGAAGTAAAGACTGCAGTTAGCCAAGACTGCACTACTCCAGCCTGGGCAACAGAGGGAGACTCTGTCTCAAAAATAAATTAATTAATTAAATAAAAATACTATTTTCGGAAAGAAAAATGGCTTATACATATTCACAAAAAAAAATGATAGAAAGATGTACACCAAAATATTAACAGTGGATTTATTGAAAAATTTTCTATTTGCCTGTTTTCTGTATTGAACGTGTATCTGTTGGCAGCCAAGGAAAAATCCCAGATAACAATTAAATTTATAAAGAAAACTTCATGTTGAAAGATAACCAAATTTAAAATTTAGAACTCATTTGACTAGAAAAAACGTGTCTTATTTTAAATTTTTCAAATATAATTTTAGTAGTTTAAGCCTTAATAAAATTTTTAAATTTTAAGTTCTGCAAATTTCCTTCAAAATACGTAGAATTGCATATTAAATCATCTTACTATAATAAGCAATTGAACAAAATTCTTACTTGAAAAATGCAATAAGAAGATTAACCATAATGATATACTGTACAAAGAGGTAGACTGCTTGAAGAAATGGGGTCAACCATGTCCCAGGACCACAGATATGAGGGATAGAAGAATCATTTGCACACACTTTAGAAAGGAAAAAAGAAAAAAAAATTAATATAGTAATTCACCAGTAACTGCTATTCATCATTGTTTAAGGTTATTTACTTAAGTTTTGATCATGTACAAATCTATTTCACAGATTCCAATAAAAGCCTCTGCACAGAGAGTCACAGGAATCCTAGCTTAAGAGTATTCAAACACAAAAACATTTTGTGAGAAATGTGGTGCTACCTGTTTTACAACTTTATTCCAGAAAAGGAAGTATATTTAGGTGTTATATTTACCCTTCAAGGTAGAGTTTAGCCTGAGGCGCATTAAGGAGGGTAAAATTCCTGAATCAACCATATTACAACATTTCTGTAAGAAAAATGTCTAAACTTATCCCTCCTCGCGAGACAGAGTCTTGCTCTGTCACCCAGGCTGGAGTGCAGTGGCGGCTTACTGCAACCTCTGCCTCCTGGGTTCAAGCAATTCTTCTGCCTCAGCTTCCTGAGTAGCTGGGATCATAGGTGCCCGCCACCACACCCAGCTAATTTTCTGTATTTTTAGTAGAGATGGGGTTTCACCATGTTGGCCAGGCTGGTCTTGAACTTCGGACCTCATGATCCACCCACTTCAGCCTCCCAAAGTGCTGGGATTACAGGCGTGACTGAACTTTAAGAGTATGGTTGACTCATACTCTTACAAACATAAAGAGTATTGAGTATATCTTATTATGTCACAAAAACGAGGCTGAAGAAATAGCTAAAGCGCCTCTCAAATATACAGGGATTAGATTTAAATTACTTATTTTTCATCACCGCATCTGAAAAATTTCTGAAGCCAGAACACAGCTAATTACAAACAGGGAAAGGAAAAGCTTTAATACCCCCCACAGCATTACAAGGAATATAGTAAATTAACTTAGGTAGGGCAAGAATTAGAATTAAATAATGATGAATTAGTGCTAAGTTCTACCTAAATATTTATAGTATACTTAGCATTTAGTATTTGGTAATTTTTTAAAAGTATATGCATCAATGACATTCATAATGGATCTATCATTCCTTTAAATGGCTTTACAGGTAAATTAATGGTAAGGTCCTTTCACTCTTAAATAATTTTATGAATCTATTCTATTTAGATTAGTTTGTGGAAGCAAATACCCAAGAAAGAGAATGCAGGAAACTAAAATACTATACCCAATGCTTTATAACAACTACATAGTTAGAGCCACATCATTAGAAAAATAGCAGATGGCCGGGCATGGTGGCTCACGCCTGTAATCCCAGAACTTTGGGAGGCCAAAGCAGGCGGATCACTTGAGGTGAGGAGTTCAACACCAGCCTGGCCAACATGGTGAAACTTCGTCTCTACTTTAAAAAAACAAAAAAACCCAGGCATGGTGGCGTGCACCTGTAATCTCAGCTACCCCAGAGGCAGAGACACAAGAATCACTTGAACCTGGGATGCAGAGGTTGCAGTGAGCTGAGATTGCACCACTGCACTCCAGCCTGGGTGACAGGGTGAAATTGTCTAAAAAAAAAAAAAAAAAAAAAAGTAGCAGACAATAAAAACCTGGAAATAACACCAAACAGAAGCCATCAAGCACAAAATTCAACCAGGCTGGTAAAACATCATTAGTTTAACTACTGTCCAAGAACAAATAATGGCCACAATTTTCTATGTGGCCACCCTTGGACCTAACCATAATCTTCTCACTACATGGCCAGCCCTTGACCTAATCACCTATAAATACAAAGAAAGGAGTAACACAGATACTGGGGGAGGGAGGGATGAAAGAGAAGAAAGAAAAAGAGTGAAAGAGAATTAACAAAAGATTCTGTAACTCCAATGTGGAAGTCAGCAGAATACCCCTGAAAGCTGATAGCATCACTTACGATCACAGGTTATCTAGTCTCATTAACTAAGACAATACAAGAGTCAAAATGTGAATAGTAACAAAATTGAACTACACACTTAATATTCACTTTCAAAATAGGGTTGTAGTTCAAGATGGATTAAAGGTTGTCATTAAAAAAAATAGGGTTAAATCAGTGGGAGTTGTGTCACTGATTATCCAGAGAATATACTAACAAGTTGCAATAAAAACCTTAAGTATCTGTCATCCTCTGTAAAACTCAACATGCTGTAAGCTTTCAGTATTCACACAGGATCATTATTTTTGTCATTAACATTGTGCTTGACTTCTCAATATCGAATCCACCCTGAATAATCTAGGCTAAACACGGTAATTGCATCCTCCTTGCCTGTAACCATTTTAGACAGAGGCAGGCTGAAGCCAACTCAAGCTAATGAAATAAAAGGACAGGTTCAAAAGGGAATTTCTGTGAAAGGGACATTTTCTTCTAAAGAGAACCATGGATAAACAGTGTCTCTTTCCTCCTGTTGCTAGTGATGGTCTTATGATCATAAGGGAAACCTACACAGCTGGCAGCGGGATGAAAGAGAGCAGGCGTCCTTAGCTATGAATTAACCAACACCCTAAAGATCAGTGGACCTAGCTAAATATTGTTATGTGAGTTATTAAATATCCTTGTGTAGGACATTTATTAGACTATATTTCTATTACTTGTTACTAAAAAAATCCTAAAATACTTTTTCTTCCAATTAATTTGTATGTTTCTTCTGGAGTTCACTAATGCCTTTGTGTAGGGCTTAGGTTGTTAATGGTTTGACTTGTGTAGGGCTTAGGTTGTTAATGGTTTGACTTCTGAAAATATGCAATATTACTACAATTCAATACTGGTTTTAAGACATAAAATAACCAAAAGATAAACTTGTAAATAAAAAATTCTTACCATCAATTTCATATGCATAAACTTCACCAAAAATCATCCAGTATGGATTAAAAACTATATCTTTAGCAAGTGTCCAAGACGGTGCTTCACGAGGATAAAGTATTGCCTTTCTGGGAACACCAAAACTAAGTAATACAAGAGCCATAATCACTACAATGTAGAACATATTGGCCACCTGTTAAAAAACGAACACTGTTAAAATACAAGGAAGTTTAAATACTATGACAAATCTTTTTTTTTTTTTTTGAGACAGATTCTCACTCTGTCGCCCAGACTGGAGTGCAGTGACATGATCTCAGCGCACTGCAACCTCCGCCTCCCGGGTTCAAGCGATTCTCCTGCCTCAGCCTCCCAAGTACGTGGGACTACAGGTGCCTGACACCATGCCCGGCTAATTTTTCTATTTTTAGTAGAGACAGGGTTTTACCACATTAGCCAGGCTTGTCTCGAACTACTGACCTAATGATCTACCCACCTCAGCCTCCCAAAGTGCTAGGATTACAGGCATGAGCCATTAAGCCCGGCTGACAAATCATTTTAAAAGTTTCTAATGTTCTAATAGACCAAAAACATCCATTAAACACAAAAAAACTTTGAGATTCTTTTTGTTCCTAGTGAGAGCTTTCAGAAAAATTTCATCACTGTATAAACCTTAACATCTAGGAGATTATGAAAAAAAAAAATGATCCATTAAACTAAGCAAGTCATGGGCACCTTCATCTACATAATGAACTGTATCACTAGTTCAAACTGAAGTGTGCCTATCTCTGGGGTACATGAAGATTTTTAAAAAGTACAGAGACTCGGGCAGACTTAGGGAATCAATTTCCATAACTGCCCTTTCCCAAAGCTTCTCTGTTCTTATAATGAAGGCACGGACTCTCTCTTCTACCTTGCCTCTGATAACTGTACGTTGCCCACTTCACAAAAAAAAGGAGTATTTCTCACCCATCCTGAATCCATGGGTGCCTTGTTCTGGGATATGAAAACTTCCTAGGAGCCAAACAAAGCAATCTGAATTATTAGCATGGGTGTTGAAAAACTAAATGATACCAAGGCCTGGGAAACAAATACTTTTGTAAGTCGTATAATTTGTAATTCTTTAAATTCAATAAAATGAAAAAGGACCTAATTGAGCTAAAACCTAGTAATTCATTGAAAAATAATTTTCATTGTTAAATCACAATGTGTATTTTGACATAATTATGTAAAAATTCAAAGAATTATGCAGAATTCTATAATAAAACTTTACTTCCTATTTACTTATTTAGGTATATAAGTTCTCCAGTCTGCACTACTTATTGTCCAGCCTAGACAATATAAAAAAGGGAATATATGGCCAGGCAGGGTGATTCAGTAATCTCAGCACTTCGGGAGGCTGAGGTGGGTGAATCACTTGATGTCAAGAGTTTCAGACCAGTCTGGCCAACATGGTGAAACTCCATCTCTACTAAAAATATAAAAATTAGCCAGGCATGGTAACACATGCCTGTAATCCCAGCTACTCACGAGGCTGAGGAAGGAGAATCACTTGAACTCAGAAGGCAGAGGCTGCAGTGAGCTGAGATTGTGCCACTGCACTCCAGCCTGGGCAACAGAGCGAGACACTGTCTCAAAGCAAAGAAAAAAAAAGTGGGGCAGAGGGGGATATACATATAAAAAAGTGAATGCTTTCTCACTCTATCAACATGTAATATTCATTCATAAATAATTATCTGAGGAGAATGGCTTCATGCAAAAGAGAGTACGTTACCCTGTGAACTTAAAATAATTGTAATGACAAATTAAAAGAAATTATGACATTTTCAGATATTTAAAAAATATACAGTGACAGTAGAAATGGAAGGCAAGATATGAAAGGTAAAGGGGACAATAAGTAGTCAAGGCTGGATAAAGTAATTTTATGGAGGCTTAAGATTAGAAAGAAAAGTTGTGCGGAGAGCTGAGAAAATGTCAATTCAAATGAAGACATTAGGCTTGATGCTTCATCTTTAAAATTTGGTTAGATTAACAAATAAATTTTCTTTTTAAATTAAGAGCTGTGTCTTTGTGACTTGCAGAGGCCTAACACACTCCAAAATTCTTAAACTGGATATTCTTATATGCAATATTCACAAATAATGCCATCATTGAACATTTGAGAGGATTACTGAGAGAATGCATGTTTCCAAATTAAAAAATTATTGCAAAACAAACCAAAAATATACTGGGATAAAAGATTTTAATAGGCAAAAAATTTATCAAAACATTATCCATGTTATTTGACATATTTTAGAATACAAAGCCAGGTCAAATATTCCAAGTGAAACCCAAATTGGTATTGAAGTAACCTAAAATTATTCATGGTCTGCGGTTGATGATTCATAGTCGTTTTTGGATTTCACAAACCTTTTCACATAAAGCCTAAACGACAACCACTTTCCATGAGGTTGATATAAATTTAATTAATTAAAAATATGTGATTATCAGCTTGCTCATGAAAATGACGATTCTTAAAGTAAAATTTAAGAAAATGAGGATTATTAGTCTGAATGTATAATGTATATAGAATGAGTGGGAGAAGTTTGATATTTACCATGTGATTTTCATTAGTTTGCTATTAAAAGATGTATTAGGTTGATGTAAAAGTAAATGCGGTTTTTGTAATTACTTTTGCACTAGCCCATAAAATGTGAGGTAGGTTTCTTCTTTTTTTTTTCCTTTTTTTTTTAAAATTTATTGCATTTTAGGTTTTGGGGTACACGGGAAGAACATGCAACGTTGTTGCATAGGTACACACATGGCAGTGTGATGTGCTGCTTTCCTCCCCATCACCTAAGGTTTCTTCTTTTTAATCTTTTATTGTCTTTAAGCTTTTCAAAGCTGTTTCTTCTGGTTAGAAACTCCCTGCTCAGAAGAAAAATCCTATATATTTTCTAAGCCCCTTTGAAATGCTACAATCTTTGCGAAAGCCTTCATGACAGAATTGGTTACTAGCTCTTCTATCTTCACATAACAATTTTTATTGGTTCACATATTGTATTTTTGCATTTTACATATTTTTCAATAGCTACCTATCTGTTCACAGGTCTATATTTAGAGACTCAATTTTGAGTTCCATGAGGATCTGGACCATGTCTTATTCATCTTTGTAGCCCCAGCTTAGTTTAACTCTTAACATAAAATAGATACACAATGATGAAATGATGAATGTTAGAATTAGAACAACCACCATTACGAAATTTCTGAAGGGGGTGTAAAGGGAAGCTAGCACTAGGGGAAAACAGACAATGATGGAAAAAATGACCAGTTGACAGAAGAAAGACATCCTAGTGGAGGTTGGTTCTAGAGAAGATCACAAATAAAGACTTCTGTACTTTCTAACTCTTCCATTTACATTACCATTAAAGTAACTAGATACCACTAAGTCCCTAAATAACCTGGTAAGCAGTAAGAGCTACAACACCTTTTTTTCATGCTAAGATGTTATGCTAAACCCAATTCTTCCCCAAAAAACCTTAATTGCCCTATTTTTCCTTGAAATACCATAATAATGCCAAAACGTATGAATAATGAGTACTACTTCTTGGATGTGAAAAATAGTACACGAGTAATTCTCTATTAAGGGGAGGAAGATACATTCTCTTGGAGAGGAATAGTGCAGTGTGAAACAGCAAATATTATATAATAATTTATATTTAGGGAACCTAAAAATCTTATTTTCAAGATGCAAAGATAATCTTGTGAGCTTAGTAAGGTTACTTAAGAAATATTTAATTTAGAAGACTGATTTTCTAAGATTAAGGGAGTATAAGAAACTCTATAAATAGATTTTTGTATTAATTAAAATGGAACAAATATTTTAAAATAATTGAGAAACAGCATATATTTTTTAAGCCTATTTTGATAAAACTACTATACAGTCACGAGAAGTTTGAAACAAACATATGCATTCATACATGTTTTGAGGGATGGAAGGATATACACTAAACTGTTAACAGTGAACGTCTCTGAATAGTGATTTGACTGCATTTGCTGAAATTTCCTAGGAAGAACAAAAATTTCAGAATAAGGAATAGCAATAGCTGTACTGCAAATTTTGCCTTTTTGCCACTGAAAACCAAAAGGAATTACGGCAAGGAGTAGACTCAATATACTTTAGATTCAGTGTATAAAAAATTACACACTAAACTTGACATCTAGATTTAAAAAAATAAAACCTGCCACTCAGGTAAGACTATGCAAAAAAGCAAAATATTGGGCATATTATCTTAGGAAAAGACTAGATATTCTGGATTTAACTTTTGAAAAATAGCCTGGATCAGTGAAGACAGGAAGAAGGAGTTACCTACAGATATAAACCATAGATAGTATTGGTATAGCTAACATAATCTCACAAAGCACAAAATGGGTGTAGGGGATTGAAAGTAAGCATAAAAAACTCTTAAGGAATAGTAGATTTGAAGTAAGAGGCAAACAAAAACAAAATAAAAGACATTCACTGGCTCAAATAAAACTATGTTAATAACACTTTTGTGTTTTTTTTTAAAAAATCAATAAACCCATGAGTATTATCAAACATCTCTCAACTTACCATTTTTCCAATCATCATTACATAAGGTCCTGCCTGTTGATTTACAGCTAGAAAATCTAGCAAACGCACATACCAAAATATTATGTTAAGACAGTAAATTAATCTTCCAGCCACAAAAATATGATTATCATATGCATTTGCAAAGTTCCATTTTGCTCCAAATCTTAGTCCAAATCCAATGAAGAAAGAAATTATGGCAATTGTATCACTGATATTGAAGTAATCACTAAACCATACTTTAATCTTCTGGTTTATTTTCCCAGCTTCAGACATAAAGATCTAAAGGTTTAAAAACAAAATAAAAAAAAGTTTAATCAATTTATTCCTATTAAAACACATACAGCATTCAATTATAACATTACAGCAGAACTTCACATAGCTTTTAATTATTTATTTATTTTGAGACAGAGTCTCGCTCTGTTGCCCAGGGTGCAGTGCAGTGGTGCAATCTTGGCTCATTGCATCTCCCAGGTTCAAAAGAGATTCATCCAACTAAGCAGCTGAAAATCTAGATTACAACACAGTTCTCTAGACCAGGCTTGTAAAATATTTTTGAAAAAATTGTTTTATTTCAAATTAAAGCAGCACATGGATATCTTGGTAGTAGCTGCCAAACATGCCTTCTTTGCAGAAAGTAAGTAACTCAATGGTTTAAGTAGCTGTATTTATCTAACTTATTTAAAACATATACCTCTTCTCCTAAATATATGATTTTAAGAATTATCTTTTGGGAGGAATGGTAACATGTTCACATCTTCAAAATTCATGGTATATCACAGATACTACGAACTCTCGATTTTACTCTTCTGCTTTAAGCCAATTAATTATTATTCCCATTAGAGGCAACCACTATTATTATTGTCTCCTCAACACTTGCAGAAGTATTTCATGAATATACATATTTTAAAATGCTTTCCAATTTGCTTTTATCATTTAACAAGTCGATTTCTTCAAACATGCTGATAATACAATAGATTTAATAAACCTATGGACCATAACACTCAGAGGAATTTAAAATGCAAAATAAGCTATTTAATAAGAAATTCCTTCTGGTTTGAGTTGGTGTTTGGAAAACAAAAAAAAGAAATTCCTAAGATATCTAAGTGACAGACAAGTATAATGCCTTCTAATTATTTTTGCAATTTCTTGCATTCTCTAAATGTAAGGCAGAGGCATGAAATAAATCAGAGGTACTTATGCAAATATGCTATAAAACAATATTCATGTACCTACTACTTCAAAAACAAAGTATAAATATTTAAGAAAAAAATTTTCTTCAAAATCAGGATATTACAAACTTTACAATTTAAACTGAAAATGGAAAGACACAGGGATATACATCTAAATGATCATTCTGTGTCAATATAGTACATTTTAGTAGGCAGTACAATATAAAAGCAAAATAAAGACCTATTTATTTTATTTTATTTGAGATAGTCTCGCTCCTTCACTCAGGCTGGAGTGCAGTGGCATAATCTCGGTTCACTGCAACCTCCACCTCCGGGATGCAAACTATTCTCCTGCCTCAGTCTCCTGAGTAGCTGGGATTACAGGCACCTGCTACCATGCCCAGCTAATTTTTGTATTTTTAGTAGAGATGGGGTTTCACCCTGTTGGCCAGACTGGTCTTGAATTCCTGACCAAGAGTGATCTGACTGCCTCAGCCTCCCAAACCACTGGGATTACAGGTGTGACCCACTGAGCCTGACCTAAGACTTATTTATAATTTACCTACCTGATTGGCTAAATTAGGTAGGTAAATTAAAAATTATTTAATCAAATATACTTAATACTTATGAAGAGTGATAGAGAACAAAAATGTGAATGTTCAGGAAATAAAATAAAAATATAAGCTACATTTTTATAGGCTACATTTCTGACACAAATCATTTTATTTATAATGGCAACAAAGTATATAGCATACACACATCTCTATTCTTCATCATTATTTTGGGAACAGCAAAATTACACAGGTTTTACACTTCTACAATATTATCACACACACACGTACCCACATATACACCCAAAACAAACAAATGAATAAAACCAGAAAATCCTCCATGTATACAGTAAATTATTGGTAGAAAAAATTAAAGACATACCTCACGGACTTTCTCAATGGCATAAGTAAAAATATAAGCAATAACAATCCATTCTTGAACTGAAGGTAATTGTTCCATTTGTACAAGAACCACAAAGGTATAAAGCATCAGAAATCCTAAATATGCCAACTAATAAAAAAGTAAAGGTTATATAAACATTGGTTACAAAATAAATATTTTAATTATGAACATTTTCAAGCACACATAAAAACAAACATTAAATGAATCTTCATGAATTATCCCCTAGTTTCCCTTACTTTAAAACAGTTTTAGAGATACCTCTCTTCTTCAGCAGAGACATTGCATTTACTGGACTATAAATGGTCTCCAGCGTATAAACCTGTTGTTCTACAACTCTGTCAACCTTTAGTGTCCCACAGAAGGGATTTTATAATCAGATTTATGTTCTCAGAATAGGCCACACAATTCTATTTAACTCATACCTAGAGTATCATAATATATTAAAATTACTGCAGAATTTCACCACCACAATCATTAAGGAACACATACTTCCTGCCTCCTTCCTCTCCCAAACAAACAGTATTACTAAGAAAGACAACTGGGGCAGGGCACAGTGGCTCATGCCTGTAATTCCAGGACTTTCGGAGGCCAAGGCAGGCGGATCACCTGAGTTCAGGGGTTCGAGATCAACCTAGACAACAGGGCAAAACCCTGTCTCTACTGACAAAAAACAAAAAAGCAAAAATTAGCCAGGCGTGGTGGTGCACGCCTGTAATCCCAGCTACTTGGGAGGCTGAGGCATGAGAATTGTTTGAACCTGAGAGGTGGAGGTTGCAGTGAGCTGAGATCATGCTACTGCACTCTAGCTTGGGTAACAGAGCAAGATTGTGTCTCAAAAAAAGGTCAGGGGAGAGGAGTGGGGAAGGACAGGAGGGGAAGGGTGAGAGGAAGGGAGAGGACAGAGCAGAGCAGGGCAGGGCAGGGCAGGGCAAGGGGGAGCAAAAGACAACTGGTATTTTCTTAGCTCCAAGTCAGTAAAGTTGAAACCCAAAAAGTGGAAAAGATGTGAAGAAGCTTTCCCCAGGTAAGGGAAGAGCCCACCTTTAATACTCTTTACAAAACAAGTTATAGAGAGGTGATAAAGCTTATGTATAGAAATATATTTATTTCATTTCAGAGGAAAATCCACACTTATTGACCCTTAAAAAATCATGGCTAAGAATCTTCTCTCTCTCTTGTCTCTAGCAGTCCTAGAGTAAGTCACATCCTTGATTTGATTATCTATGGCAGGCTAGGGAACTAAACTGCAATAAAGAAAGAAGAGAGAAATTCCTGTAGTCACCCACATTGGCTATTTTAATGTAGCCATTCCCATGAATGCAAATGTAAGAAAACTACCCTAGTTTCATTAGTGGGGACAGAATTTGGAGATTAGATCAGATAATTGATATCTGCAATTTCAGCCTCTGAATAGGAAGGAATAAGAAGAACATTTCCATATAGAGAAGTAAGGAAATGTTAGTCTCAGGTTAATGGTCATGTGTTTGGGCAAAAAAGCAACTGCCAAAGAAACAAATTCTTATTCATGAAAATGAAAAAAACTCCACAACAACAACAAAGTTAAAAACATCTTAATTAAGGGTGTTCCTAAGAAAAGGAGTTAAGAACTCATTTACCCTGGTTAAAAGTAGTGGCTAATCTTATTTACTGCATCACCTGTTCCTTCAGGTTGGTCCATGTAGGGAGAGTGGCACCAGCAAGATAGCCAACTATCTTTCCTAGTGCTCACTGCCCACCACACAAAACAACAAAAACAACATATAAACACCTACATTTCAACTAAAATAATAGGTGAGGCCATCGTTCTATGGACATAGGCTCTTTAATATTCTAGTAAAATCAATTTTTCCATAAAGCAATTATATGGCAGGTAATCAAGCATACACTTTAATATAATTAAAGAAATAAGCCACAGATAAAACCATACAAATGATCTGGATTACTTTTTAGCATCATCAATTAACACTGCAAACAGGTTTATTTCTAGACTTTTATGTATTACCTGCAAAATCTTAAAGCACAAAAAATTATAAGTGTGTATCAGAATCTCTTTTGGTCCATCTTTTACCATTATTTTTAGTAGGTGATTAGTATTTGCTACCAACTTACAAAGGCCAATGGTTATCATCTATTTGTTAAGCACGTTTTTAGTTCCAATTAGAACTAAAATTTGTCAGTGTTTATCACTCTAGATGTTGACAATGTAAATTAAACTAAAGCAAACATATCACTCTTTTAAATGTGAAATGTCTTTTCAGTGATCTAAGTTATATCAAGATTAGTATGGATTCTGAACCAAAGGTCCCTCAAAGTCTATCTCTTAAAAACATTATGCTTCTGTAATTTAAAAACATACCGTGTTAAACCAGAATTTTACAATTGGTGCATGATAAAAGGCATAAAACTTTCGTGTGATTGGAAGCTTTTTTGATTTTATTTGTATCTCCATTTCATTCTTTCCTTCATTACTATCCAAAATCCTTACTTCTTTAAATACTTCCTAAAATTAAAAAAAAAAAATTATTGTACAATTATTCAGAACAAACTTATACTTACTTTAAAATGTTTTCCTGCTTACCATGGGGATCTCTTCTGTTATGTTCTTAAAGTTGTTTTCGCTGTCATCCATTGTCATCTGATGAGCATCTTGAGATTGTGGAATATGGGACATTTCAGCCTTAGTTTTATATTCTAGCAGTAATATGGCAGGTGGAACTAAAATGCTTAGTATGACCTAAAATTTTTAGAAACATAATTTTGCATTTCAAAATTAATGGCCTTCAAGAATAAAAACAAAGATATTAAATATATTATTAGCCGTTTTGCCCCTAGTAGTGGAGAGAAAAAAACAGAAAGTTCATGTCCAAGTTGAACTGTTAACAAAACATTTGATTATTATGATAATAAGGGTATAGGATAGATTAAATAACTATTATAGACTTGTACTTCACGTAAAATCAGATTACAATTTGTTCAGAAAACACATTTTGTTTAAACAGAATTCAAGCCTTATAAAGGTGCTATGTGCTTAACTTTATCCTTAATCTCTTTTCAAGTGTTCCATGTCATAACATGATTACTCAGCTCATACCTCTACAAACAAAATGGTTTATTTCTAAAATTTTACTTATTACTTGCAAAATCCCAAAGCATGAAGAAATTATAATTGTGTAACAGAGATTCTGTTGGTTATTCAATAGCCTATGGTTAAACTATTTGCCTGATTTCTGCCTGCTACATTTCTGCACTTTAATTTAAAAGATAGAAGAGAACAAAAAGCAAGACCCAAAGCAGTATCTATCGCCATAATAAAACTAAAAGCACATGCCATTTTACTCAAGTTCTTAATCATAAAAACTGGACACATGGATATGCTTATCTATAAGTATAAACTGAGTATATGAATATACTCATTCAATATACTTTAAGCAACTTAAAAGTAACAGACTACTAAGTTATTAGATAAGTCTGGAATTTCAGAATTTGGGAATAATCCTTTCATAAAGCAGTAACTTTTTTTCATGGCTGCTCAGGGTTATAATCTCCAATATTTCCCAATTGTTGCCCTTCTAGCTCAAAGAGAGGCCATAATCATTATACACACCTGAAAAGGATTGAAGAGTAAAGAAGAGGAGGAAGAAAGAAGCCCATTATGCTACTTGGGATGAAATGCCAATCACCCTTCTCCCCCTCACTGCCCATACTCCCCACCATTACCACCACACATCAAGACATTTTACTATATATTTAGACTAATTCCTCTGTTCTTTTTATCTAATCACACGCTTTACATCAAATTATTTCTAAAGTATACCTTGTACCAGGAATTTTTCCTCATATTCAGCCTTCCCATCCACATATCAGATAACAACATTTGTGTACAGGTGTGGGCTACAAAAGGTCTAAGTCTTGAAGAAACTGCTAACTTAAGGCAGGTTGAATTACTCCAGTTCTTGAGTTCATAAGTGAGCAATTTCATAGCCATCGTTTCATCTTGTCTGAAGGACTGTTCTAATAATTCAACAGCCAACTGACCAAAATCACTATAAAAAGATAAAAGCCAAAATATATTCAGATTAACAAGCTACAATTTTAAACCACTATTCTTACATACATTAATAATACTCTCTACTTTTTAATAGTCTTATGCACACTTACAGAATTACGAGGCATTAAAACCATTACTTTATGTTTTCAGACATCTACATATATGTAGAAATCACAAAATATTAAAATATGTCACATTATGTACAAGACCGAAAACGTGAATCCAGAGCACTTTCTCCCAGTCCTAGAAATCAAACTATAATCTCAAAGGGAATCAAAACTCACAATGCTACAATGTGCTGTTCAAAAAAGTTTATGCAGTATTTCAAACACAGAAAATAGTTGGTACCTGGTAGAGAGAAAGAACAATGTGACTAGGGACTAACTTAATTATGAGAAACATCCCAGTTTTGAAGTCCAACTAAGTAACCATAGGATCCCTGCTAGAGTTATTTTCAGTAACAATTGTCACTGTCCTCTAAAGACACCACTTGGGCAGATGGAGGTGTTAGTATCTATTAGAAAACTTCTACAAACTACTTTTCCAGTTTATATTCCAATACTGCCCCCCCAAGTAAACTGTAAATTTTTATGAACTATGTTACTATTCTATGTATGTAGTTCTAGCTTCTCAAGTGCCCTCCCAGTTGAATTCAGTCTATTTTCTTAAAACATAGCTCCAACCTGACTTCTGCCCTTTCTTTACCAATTCAAATGGAACTTTTCCCAATATAAATTGCTACTATTTGCAAAAATTAAAATGACTTCTGGCATTTCTTCTTTCTTTGAGACTGGGTCTCGCTCTGTCACCCAGGCTGGAGTGCAGTGGCATGATCATAGCTCACTGCAGCCTCAACCTCCTGAGCAGCTGGGACCACGGGCAAGTGCCACCACACCCAGCTAATTTTTAAATTTCATGTAGAGACAGGGTCTCTCTATGTTGCCCAGGCTGCACTTCGTCTTTCTTGCTGAAATGTTTAACTCTGGAGTTGCAAACAATATAATAGCCTCTTTTTCATATACAGAGGCAGAAAGTTTATTTCTCAATTAAACAAATAATATGCTTAAAAAATAATTTTCCAGTCAGGCACAGTGGCTCATGCCTGTAATCCCAGCACTTTGGGAAGCCGAGGCGAATGAATCATGAGGTTAGGAGTTCAAGACCAGCCTAACCAACAGGGTGAAATCCCATCTCTACTAATAATACAAAAATTAGCTGGGTGTGGTGGCATGTGCCTGTAATCCCAGCTACTCAGGAGACTGAGGCAGGAGAATCACTTGAACCTGGGAGGTAGAAGTTGCAGTGAGCCGAGATCACGCCACTGAACTCTAGTCTGGGTGACAGAGTGAGACTCAGTAACAAAAGAAAAAAAAATTTTCTGTCAATTGTACCAATAAGATTATACATATAAATACATCACCGTTAAGTATGTGGCACTGTAACAGCCACTCAAACAAGATCTACTTTGAATTTTTAAAGTGTTTTAAATTATAAAATATCGCTTACTTGGAATACTGTTTCAGTTCTTCTGAAGTATCATCTACCAGGTCACTCTGCTTTGCTTCATATGCCATTGAACGATAGATCTTACAGGCAACTAGCGCTTTAGCCATTGATTCTTCACCATGTTGCCATAAAAAACGGGCCATGACCTGCCTCTTCATAAGGCATGCCCAAATTAAAAGTTCATTAAGTGGATAAGGAAAACGCTTAGTTTCAGGATCATCAATGTCTACAATTTCATCTTTGGTTCTTTTCTTCTTTCCTTCTTCCATAACTGTATCAATCTTGTAGGGAAAATAAAGTTATGAAGCTCATTATATAATAAAGCCATATAAAATTATGTCAGTGAAAATTTTAATAAAATATCCTTTACCTTATTCAGATCCATAAAACTGCACATAATAGCATAAATTTTATAAACTTGATTTTTATTATAGCTCATAATTCATTTTATAAAAATCTATTTCAACAAAAATGTCTTTGCAATGAACATTTTCCAAAATTTAAGCACCTAAACATTTCAACTAATATTCTAACAGAACATAAGTTTAATAAAAGGTTAAATAACATTTTTGTCGTGCATGTTCTTATTCAAGAACTGGAATGAGGGGGTCAGGTAAACCTTTATTAAAACATTTTAATTTGGTTATATCATAGCTAAATATGAAAATGTAACTGAATCATTAACTTATAATGAATATCTCTGTATATGAGAAAATGACAATTCCAAGACATATCCAAAAACGAAAGACAATTTTTACTAAATCAATTAGGTTTTTTTGTTTAATACTAAGTAATTTAGAAAGAAGAAAGTAAAAATCCAGAAAGAACAATATTTAAATAAATTTACCTTTGGTCGGTAGGGCTGTGCTGTCTTAATGAAATGATTATGCCTCATCTTTTCCTTTTTATCTGCCCTATTGCCATAAGATTCATGATTCTTTCGCAACTGAGGAGTGCTGCTGGAGGTATTTCGGCCAGACCTCTGGAAAATGAGATCTTATTAGCTTTTATAGATTTTAACATGCTGACATGTTATAAAAATTCAAGAATCAATTTATATATGCGTGGAAATGTGTTTGAGTATGCACACAAAATATGACTGGTTTAGGATTTTGATGACAAAATATTTCTAATTACTCTAAGTTGAATATCTTCAATTTTATGACAATGTTACTTTCCCCATTCTAATGTTAATTCTTAACATTTAAAGTGCATGCATTAATGTTAAAGCACATATATAGATTCCCCCCAAATTTTACATACCCGATTATTTCCACCAAGACTATTATATATTAATCGAAAACGTTTTTTAGTGTAGGTGCATCTGTAGGTTCCTCCCATGAGATATTCAATAACAAGTCCTATATCAATTAGAGTGATCTTATATCCTGGAGGAAGATTTCCCTAGAAATAAAACATTTGTTTTAAATAGATCAGATAGTATTTCTCAATACTGCCAAGGTCTGCCTAGCAATAGGCCTACTTTTCAAAATGACAAATGTTTACTTCTTAAAAGCAGCAAGGGTCGGATGCAGTGACTCACGCCTGTAATCCCAGCACTTTGGGAGGCCAAGGTGAGTGGATCACCTGAGGTCAGGAGTTTGAAAAAATCAGTCTGACCAACATGGTGAAACCCGTCTCAATTAAAAATACAAAAAATTTAGCTAGGCGTGGTGGTACGTGCCTGTAGTCCCAGCTACTCCAGAGGCTGAGGCGTAAACTCAGGAGATGGAAGTTGCAGTGAGCCGAGATCTGACACTGCACTCCAGCCTGGAAGACAGAGTGAGACTTGGTCTCAAAAAAACAAAAACAAAAACAAAAAACAAAAAAAAGAAAGAAGTGAGGGTTGCTAGCAGCTATCTTTACAGGAGAAATAAATTCTTGTTTCTCTATTTCCTCTGTGAAATTATGGGATTCTGAAGTTCTCAGGTCTTAAAGGTGTGCCTTGAGACAGGAGCATGACCTAAAGCAGGAAGATAACAATTTCATCTCTCCATTGTCCCAATACTTCACACGTAAGAGACAATGGAATTGCTAATCAGCCAACTATTCCATTTTCACTGTGATATATATAAAAATAGCATTTTCCTACAAAAATAATGCTGTGTTTTGTTTCCAAACTGGCCCACAAATACAAGTTTTTTGGCTTTTTTTTGAGGCGGAGTCTTGCTCTGTCAGCAGGCTGGAGTGCAGTGGCACGATCTCAGCTTACTGCGATGTCCGCCTCCCAGGTCAAGCAATTCCCCTGCCTCATCCTCCTGAGTAGCTGGGACTACAGGCGTGCACCACCACAACTGGCTAATTTTTTGTATTTCAGTAGAGACGTTGGCCAGGATGGTCTCAATCTCCTTACCTCATGATCCGCCCACCTCGGCTTTCCAAAGTGCTGGGATTACGGGTGTGAGCTGCGCTTGGCCTAATGTAAGCATTTTTTTTTTAACCAAAATTATACTGGTGATATTACAGGTTTTTAGAGTGTTGTCAAGGAATTAAATACCACTTGAAATGTTTAAAGCTAAGACTTCATTTTCCCCATGGCAATTTACAAATGCACTTTTGGAACATACACCGTTAGTGAGTTTGGAAAGACTGCCTGTTTCAAAATTTAAAAACTGGTTAATTTTATTAAATAATCTTAAAGGGATTTAATCATCAGATAATTTGTATTTATTAACTAATTCTGCCCTCTTACCATCACTATTTTTTTATTTTCCTGATTATAATGTCATGATCTTGGTATTTTTTTTTTAATGTCTGTATTTTTAATAAGTTGGTTTCGCCAGGTGCAATGCCTATGCCCGTAATCCTAACACTTTGGGAGGCTGAGTTGGGTGGATCACCTGATGTCAGAAGTTCAAGACCAGCCTGGCCAACATGGTGAAACCCCGTCTCTACTAAAAATACAAAAATTAACTGGGCGTGGTGGTGGGTGCCTGTAATCCCAGCTACTCAGGAGACTGAGGCAGAAGAATGGCTTGAATCCAGGAGGTGGAGGTTGCAGTGAGCCAAGATTGCATCACTGCACTCTAGCATGGGCAACAAGAGTGAAAAAAAAAATCTTGGTTTTATCTGTGAAATTTCTAATTTCTAGATAGCTACATCCTTTGAATCTCTAATTTGAAAATAAATCAAAATACATCATTTCCATCTTGAATACAAGATTTTTGGTTTTAACTCAAGCAACCTCAAAATATGCTGTATGATTGAGAATGTCACCTATGATATTCTTCATTATTTATTAAAAATAACAAATGCCATTATGGTATGAACCCATTTGAATAAGAAATAAGTAAAATAATGTGAATAACCTAACAAATGTCATGATGATCAAGTTTTCAAACTACACTGGTAAGTCATAAAACAAGTTATCAATTTGAATCGAAATATTCAATTGCTGCCTTTATTTTAGGATTTATCACTTATAGAAATTAAAAAATAGGGCCTATTATAGCCACCAGTGTAACAACAAAGTATGCAAACTCTCATATTTGTTTTCAAAATTTTAACTACCATAATTCCTTCTGAGGCACTTAAGTAAACCATGGTTTAGAAACATGGTCTTAAGGTCTCCCCATTATTTAAGATTTCTAGGGGAAAGAGGGGGAACTTTGATTATTTTAAAAGACCAAATCAAATTGATACGAAATGCCCAAACGGGCAAATCACTAGATTAATAGCTGTCTACGGTGGAGGACAGAAGTGCAGAGTAGAGAAGGAGAACGAAGGAGGAGTGACTGCTAAAGGGTACAGGGTAACTTTTCGAAGTATTATAAATGCTCTAAGGTTAGACTGTGGCAACAGTTGAACAACTCTGTGAATACAGTAAAGTAAAAAAATGTATGTTTTTGTTTTCTTTTCTTTTTTTTTGGAGACGGGGTCTTGCTCTGTTGCACAGGCTGGAGTGCAGTGATGCAATCTCAGCTCGCTGCAATCTCTGCTTCCCAGGTTCAAGCAATTCTTCGGCCTCAGCCTCCTGAGAGTAGCTGGAACCACAAGCACGCGTCACCACACCTGGCTAAATTTTGTATTTTTAGTAGAAATGTGGTTTCATCATGTTGGCCAGGCTGGTCTCAAACTCCTGAACTCAAGCCACAGCATCCAGACAATATACACTTTAAATGAATGAATTTTGTAACTTGTGAAATATATTTCAATAAAGCTATAAAGAAAAGCACATGCAGGCCAGGGATGATGGCTCACGCCTGTAATCCTAATACTTTGGGAAGCCAAGGCGGGTGGATCACCTGAGATCAGGGGGTCTAGACCAGACTGGCCAACATGGTGAAACCCCATCTCTACCCAAAAAAAAAAGCTTAGCCAGGTGTAGTGGCATGTGCCTATAGTCCCAGCTCCTTGGGAGGCTGAGACAGGAAAATTGCTTGAACCTGAGAGGTGGTGGTTGCAGTGAGCCCAGATCACGCCATTGCATTCCAGCCTGAGCAGCAGGGCAAGATTTGTCCTCCAACCCCCACAAAAAAAAAAAAAAACCCAGCCAGGCATGGTGGCAGGCACTTGCAATCCCAGCTACTTGGGAGGCTGAGGCAGCAGAATCGCTTGAACCCGGGAGGTAGAGGTTGCAGTGAGCCGAGATCACACCACTGTATTCCAGCCTGGGCAAGAAAGAGTGAAACTCCGTTTAAAAAAATTTCTTTTAAGTATAAAATGTCTCAGTTCTTCCTGTGGGATACTAGTTTAGCATTAAATCAGTTACAAAACAAAGAAAATGACATTTTTAAAAAACATCCTCAAGGCTGTTAAAAATGACATTTCTAATGTCATTCTTTTTTCTTAAGACAGGGTCTTGATGGGTAACCAGAATGGAGTACAGTGGCTCAATAGCGGCTCACTGCAGCTTCAACATATGGGCTCAAGTGGTCTTCCCTCAGTGCTCCCCCTCACACCCCCACCAACCATTTGGGACTACAGGCACGTGACAACATGCTAGGCTAATTTTTAAATTTTTTGTAGAGACAAGGTCTCACTTTGTTCCCTAGGCGGGTCTCAAACTTCTTCCCTTGGGCCATCCTCCCACCTCAGCCAATCAAAGTGCTGGTATTACAGGGATAAGCCACCAGGCCTGGCCTTCTATGTTTTTAATAGTGCACTCATATTTAGTAGCAAGTAAAAGCTGAAATAAAGAATTCTAAACAAAATTTAAGTTTAGAAACTAAGAAGATATTTTAACCAAATAAATAAAAATACTATTTATCAAGGAAAACAAAACTGTATCCAATATCAGTAATATAAATGGCTATAAAAGTAGTGATAAATATGTAAAACTTTCAGTTCACAAACAATCCTGATAGGAGAGAAGTGGAATAAGAGTAAATCAGTCTAGTAGCCACAGAATAGCTTGAGATCATGACAGTGTTATGCATTCATCACTAGCAACACTAGAATTTTTTTTACTTTTAAAAAATTTTTAAATAATTTATACATATTTAGGGGGTACGAGTATAGATTTCTTACATGCACATGTTATGTAGTGGTGAAAACTACGCTTTTAGTGTGACTATTACCTGAAGAGTGAATAGTGTATCCATAGGTAATTGTTCAACCCCCACCCCCCTACCCACCCTCCCACCTTTTGTACTCTCCAACGTCCATCATTCCACTCTGTGTCCACAGGTACCCATTGTTTAGCTCCCACTTATAAGTGAACACATGCTATTTCACTAAGTTGTTTCACTTAGGATAATGAACCTCCGGTTCCATTCACGTTGCCGCAAAGGACATGATTCCATTCTTTTGTATGGCTGGGTAGAAATACTAGATTTTTTTTTAAAGGGGGAGAGAACTTTACAGCATTTTTACTGGCAAAGTCTGCCATTAAGATCATGACCCAGTCCTCAAGTTCGTTATTCAACATCCTTTACATTAGGACAATTTTCTAAGGAACAAATTTCTGCTGAAGATAGAGGAAAAATGATACATTTATCAATGGTCTTTCTTTTGCGGACCAATGAACTTTATACATCACATTCTATCTATCCTTGATGACCAGGAGCTCAGAGGTTGTTTTTTTTTTTGACAGAGTCTCCCTCTGTCACCCAGACTGGAATGCAGTGGCATGATCATGGCTCGTGGCAGCCTCCACCTCCTGGCCTCAAGCAATCCCCCCACCTCAGCCTCCCAAGTAGCTGGTATTATAAGCATGTACCACCATGTCCAGCTAATTTTTTCACTTTTTGTAGAGATGAGATTTCACCATGCTGCCCAGGCTGGTCTCGAACTCCTGGACTCAAGCAATCCACCTGCCTCAACCTGCTGAGATGCTGGGATTACAGGTTTGACTCACTCATCCCTGGTCCTGGTCTTCATAAAATATCATAAACTCTCTTTTTTCTTATTTTCTGATACATTATGCTCTGTATTACTCTTCTCTTACCACAAATTTAGCTCACATTTAACTTGTTCTGCAAACTGTCATTTTATTGGTGTTTCTAAAATGGATTTAAATGTTATTTAAAAAAAAAAAAAAAGATGAAGTATAAATGATTTTTTAAAATAACATTCTAATTATTGTATTAAAAATAACATTTTTCAAAAACAAAAATGATTTCTTACCTGTTTGACGTCTCGAACAAGATGAAATAGCATTGGATTAGTTGGACCTTGTTTCTTTAGAGAGAAAAAAGTTACAGCAAACTATTATTTTTCTTCTAAAATAATTTAAACCTTACAGGATTTTTATGAACCTTCTTATATAAATTATACTGTTTTGGAGTTATTTTCTAAAGCAAAGAATTGTCACATTTACTGCCAAAAAACAAAGAATCTTAAGAGTATCACTAAAGTGATATATGAGTTTTTGTTTTTACAAAAGTCATGTCAACACTACAAGCTTTACAATTCTATCTTAAATTTAAATTTACATTTCTTTAATACTGGAGCTGTACAATATCTTTCTTCTTGTTAAAATGTCTGTTCCTCTGTTTCTGTCACAAATAAAGTTGTATCCAGACTTTAAATATTTCAGGTAACAAGGCTTTAACACAAACTTGTCCAACCTGCAGCCCATGGGTCACATGCAGCCCAAGATGGCTTTGAATGTGGCCCAACACAAATTTGTAAACTTTCTTAAAACACTGAGTTTTTTGCAATTTTTTTAAAGCTCATCAACTATTGTTAGTGTTAGCATATTTTATGTGTGGCCCAAGACAATTCTTCTTCTTCCAGTGTGGTCCAGGAAAGCAAAAGATTAGAAATCCCTGATTTAACATTTATATACGCCAAAATTTCGCCATTATCTTACTGCACTTCATGTATACTGTTAGAGTATATCTTAGAGTATCACTAAGACTAATCACACAGACTAATCGCAAGTTCTATCTTTCTAGTAATCTCTAGTAATTTTGAAAAAAGAGCCAAATATTATCTCCTCCACCAAGACGGAAGTAAATGTCCCAAAGACTTTAGGTGGTCCTTTGACCCATCTGAAATTTAATGCAATGAATTCCAGGTGACACAAATCAAGAGACTTCTTCTCAATACTTTTAATCCTATTTAAAAGAATTATCAAATGGAATTTAATGCCATCCTTGTATTAATTTTTTATATGAGACATTATTACAGTAATAAATTCAATCTACTTTTCTATTTTAATCACATTTATTTTGTAAAATGTTTTCAAATTAAACTGGGTACACCTACTACTATTTCTTTGGAGAAGAAGTTATTTTCTTTTACATTCTTGGCTTTCAAATTCTATATAAGATCTAAGATGACTATAATTGATATTGCATACAAATTATATTTTAATTTACTTTGTTCTGTCTTTTTATGATATTTAGTCTATCCACTCAGGGGCTAAGTTCTCTCTGCCAATTCTTTCCCACAGGTTAACTTTTTAAAATAAATGTTTCTTCTAAGTTAATAAGAAGTATCTCATATTTTAGGGGTATTGAGAAATTTCATTGTATTTTTCTCTAACGGTACATAATCACATGGAAATGCACTTAGAATTTTTAAAATTCTATTTTATCTTACTCTATTAAATATTTATCCATTAAAAATAAAATGTTAGTAAATAATAAATGTACTTTAACACAGCAATTCTCAAAGTGTGACTTGGGGACATCTGAGGTCCCCATGATCCCTTCAGGAGTTCCATGAGATCAAGAATTTCTTCCTAATCATATTAATGTATTTGTATTGACTCATTCTCTCAGTGTTTGGTGGAGTTTTGGGCTTTCTGATGTATGATATTGTGAGATTACATTCAGAAACAAATAAGAGAATTCAGCTGATAAGGCTGTTTCCTTTCCTCACCAATTTTTATTTTTTCTTTAAAAATAAAAGCATTATCAGCCAGAACAGTGGCTTATGCTTGTAATCCTAGCACTTTGGAAGGCCAAGGTGGGCAATCACCTGAGGTGAGGAGTTCGAGACCAGACTGACCAACATGGAGAAACCCCATCTCTACTAAAAATACAAAATTAACTGGGCATGGTGGTGCCTGCCTGTAATCCCAGCTACTCGGGAGACTGAGGCAGGAGAATCACTTGAACCTAGTAGGTGGAGGTTGTGGTGAGCTGAGATTTCGCCATTGCACTCCAGCCTGGGCAACAAGACTGAAACTCTGTCTCAAAAAACAAACAAAAATAAGAAGTTGATCCTATAGTTTTAAAAAGGGGTTAGGGGAGCAAAAGGGAAATAGGGCTATTAAGCCTACCTTTCCTTCCTATGTGGATATGGTGACAAGGAAGGCTTCTAAAAACAAGGAAAGGGTTTCAGATTGTAATACAACTAATCCACACTCAGACTGGCTATGTTTTTTTCATATAACCAAGGAAGACATTAAAGGTTTTATCAGTAGGAATGGCTATATTTAGGTAAAGTAACATTTCCTCAAAGAGATAATTAGTCAATAAAGAATTTTAATGTAGACTTACAGTGTTGTAAAGTTCTTCCAGTCTCGGGATGGTAAGGAATTTATGCATGCTTACTCCATTTTCGATAAGAAGTTTTACAAATGCAACTCTATCCATTACAAGAGCATCAAGCATAGCTTGTTCCAAGGATCCAACCTAGGAGTATCAAATTTAATAAATATATATTTCACACATTCTAATTATACAAACACTTCTAAATATTAAGTCCTTAGGATTTATACTTAATTTGTTCCCAACAGTTTTAGAACAAAATTAGGAAGATGAAATACAGTAAAAAGCTAATAAGACTTAAGGTATTTAGGGAATAAAAAGACCTCTCTACAACAACGTTTCTTAAAGAATATTCCACCAACACTATTTCTGTAGAAGAACAAGGGTTACATGAGGGGTAAAACAGAATCCATCATCAATTAAATCTCGGGAAAGAATACCTTAGAGCAATGGCTCTCAGTGTTCTAGGGAAGGTTTTGTGGGAAGGATCATTTCCATAACTGAGTGCTGTTACTAATATTTAATGGGTAGCGTCAAAGGACATCAGAAATCACGCAATATACTGAACAATTCTACTCAGAAAGAAACTATCCCACATCCCACACAACTTTTTATTATCCTGTTAGATGTTCATCAATGAAAAACCAGTAATTCTGCCTTACAAATGAATATAAAGTATTTCATCACAGTTTTTGTTCTACAATGAATTTTGCAAAAACACAACCACCAGAAAAGTCAGCAAGACTGTACTTAGTTTTCCTCAGAACATTAAAAGAAATTATTCATCATTAGATAAAAAAAATCATTTGACAGCAATACAACCTATGTTATTTGTGCTTAATATAACACATCTGTATCATTCAGCATTTGTAGCAGTCCTTTATATATTAAACCCTATTTTATGGGCTTCAACAGACTTCCAAATCAAATACTGGTAAATTAGTAGAGACATGAAATGTAGGTATTTCACTGAGTATTATTAATAAAGGCTGTTTTAATATAGTCTGTATATTTTTAATATTTTGTGGCAAAATCAATACAAAATCACTGGTTTTTTACCCATTATTTTTCAATTTTATTCTGATTCTATCTTTAGAGGTTTAACACACAACTACACAACTTCTCTAGAGCAACTTGTATTACCATTTATTTTTCCAAACTATCTTCAACTTCCATTACCTAGCAAGGATACAGTCTTCATGATATTTTAAGTATATACTTTTGTTTTTTGAGATGGGGTCTCATTCTGTCACCCACTGGCATGATCATAGCTCACTGCAGCCTCAAACTCAGGGGTTAAAGGGATCTTCCCACCTCAGCCTCCCATGTAGCTAGAACTGCAGGTGTCCACTCCTGTATCTGCCTTTTTTTAAAAAAAAAAAAAAAAAAAAATAGAGACAGGTCTCAAACTCCTGGCCTCAAGTGATCCTAATACTTCAGCCTCCCCAGTACTGGGATTAGAGGTGTGAGCCACCACACCCAGGTCTTTTTAAAGTATATACTGACAAAATGTATGCCTTTTACATGACAGAATTTAAAGATGGAAAGTATGTTTTCATTTTTCACTGCTCAGTTCTGTCACAAGGAAAATATTTTCACATGCTTAAAAATAAGGCCTGATTTCCGAGAAAACAATACTTCTTAGTTTTCTCTACATTAACAGACTGTAGTTTATCATGGCATGTTACTATTATTTTACTTAAGGTTAGTTCCCTCTTTCGCTTATCACATACAAATAATCCTGATGTTATTACTTATTCTAACATTAATATTCTAACATTATTCCAGTGCCCACTTGGTCTTCTCTCTGTTCTTTCTTTGTCCTACACTCATAAAGGGTGGATATCTGTTCCCCAGGATATTTACCAACAAGCTACTTGTATTAGTATGCATAACGACAGCATTTACACTGATTCTTGTTATAACTGCAGGCATCTGACTTACCATGTGTTTTATACTGCCACTCTTGAACATTTATATACTATTTTTTATTATAAATCATTTTTTCTGTCTTATTACAGTTAGGGCTTTATACATATATTCTTAATTTATTACTTATGAAATTTCACTTTAGTAGACTAAAAGGGGATATAACAAAATTAATGTTTTTAAAACAAGAACATTCTGTGTTTATAACTACTGCCCTAGAACAAAAACTAAATTTTCATATCAGAGGGGAAAAAGAGGCCATTTAAAAAAATGTGTCTTACAAAAAGCAGCATTTTCTCAATGCATACTGAACTCCTGGCAAGCAAGAAGAAAAGAAAACAACTGTCCTCCAAATTCTAAGTTTAGCAAGAAACACAAAATCAAATAGGTAACATTATGCAGAAGAAATCCATCAGACAAACCACATATAAACAGAAAATAAATGCTTCATCCAAGCCTTTACATCTGAGGAGAACAAAATCCAGTTAAATTATTCAAGGGAAAAATAAGGTTGGTTATAGTCATCACCACAGATGATTAAGATTTATTTTTTTTCCTCTGTAGTCCTGCAAGAGGAGAAGTGACTAAATAAACTGTTTTTTTTTTATTATTATACAGAAAATACATTCTCATGGTTAAAAAAAAAAAATCAAACACTACAAAATGGTATAAAATAAACCTTTCTCTCCTTCAGCTCCCATCTCTCCAAGATGAATCCCATGTTAACAGTTTTAGAAAGGTACTATGACTACACAGTACATGTAGATATGCATTAATGTTTGTAACATTTATAAGGATAATCTGCCACAAATAAGATCATACTGTGCATACTTTTTTGCAATTTGCCGTTTATATTTACTATGTGGACAAAAAAGATCTAGTTCATCCTCCATAAAGGCTGATAATACTTCAAGGTACAGATGAACATTTAATCTGCCCAGCCTCCTAATGATTCAGACATGTAACAAAACTTTAAGTGATCTACTACACACCAAGCTGTTAATATAGCAGTAAACAAAACTGAAAAATATTCTTGCCCTCATAAAGTTTACTTTCTTGGAGAAAGACAAACAATAAACAATAGCTACATTATATGGTTTGTCAGATGGTGACAAAAGCTAGAGAGAAAAAAATAGCAAGGAAGAATGCTGGTATGGGGGAAGCTATTAAAATAGGACGGACAGAGAAAGTCCAAAGAGGAGGCATTTGGTTAGAGGCCAGAAAGACATGAGGAATTAAGCCCAAGTGGATATCTAGGGAAGAATGTTACAGATAGAGAGACCAGCAAGTACAATGCCTAGAGATAGGAGCATGCTTGATATGTTCAAAGAACAGCAAGAACACCAACAAGGTTAGATAAAAAGGAGCAAACGGGATAGTGGTAGCATGTAAGTCTCTGGATTATGCTCTCAGTAAATGAAATGTGATTCATCTCCTGTCTGTAAAAGGAGAGCAAGTATGAGAGTAGTGAAACCAAAAAGGATGCTACTATTTCAGTAAAAGAAAAAACACAAAAGAATGATGATAGAACTAGACCAGGATGATAAAATTAGGTACTTTGAAAGTAGATCTGACAAGATTTACAGAAGGAATTGAATTGGAATACATGAGAAAGAGAAAAGTAAAGGATAACACTAAAGTCTCTCATCTTAGAAGCTGGGAAGAAGTTGCTCCCATTTAGTAGGATGAAGAAGGCTACAAAAGGAATAGGTCTAAACATCAGGGGGAATGCTAAAATGGATTCTCTTGTACACAGAGCATGAGTTCTAAAGCTTCTTTCAGTTCTAAGATTCTTAGAGATCTATATACTTTATTAAAAAATGAGGTTTTCTCTAGAAGTATATGTTAAATCCTAAACTGGATCAGAATAGTGTAGAAATACTTAGCTAAACTGTTTTTGAACTGTTGGCAGAAAGGTAAAATGTCATCTCAGGTCACAGTTCCCGCAAATACTTTTTTATTACTTAATTTAATTGTATTGTGTATGTAGATTATTTACATACCAGCCACTGCTGTCCATAAACAAATACATGATTTTTGGCAATGTCAACTCTATCCCATGCCAATGTAAGGATAAGCTGGTCAAATGCAGATGCATTAGTACCTAATCGAATAAAGAAAATAGTTGATAGGTTCATTAATTTATCTCCATTAAAAGGTGAACACTTTTTTTAAAAAAAAGAGATGGGGTCTTGGTCTGTTGCTCAGGCTGAAGTGCAAAGGTGATCGTGGCACACTGCAGCCTTGAATTCCTGGGTTCAAGCATACCTCCCGCCTTAGCCTCCGAGCAGCTGAGACTACAGATGAGCACCACCACACCCGGCTAATTTTTTAACTTTTTGTAGAGACAGACTCTCACTCTGTGGACCAGGCTGGTCTCAAACTCCCGGCCTCAAGTGATCCTTCCACTTTGGCCTCCCAATGTGCTGGGATTACAAGTGTGAGCCATAGTGCCCAGCCCAAACACTTCCAACATCTCCCCACCATTCTTTAATTAACTTACGCAGCTGGTTTCAGCCACCATTCAGAAGTAGCCTGCCTCAGAGAGTTAAGATTAGCCCCACAGTTAAGAACTTTACCTTTCCAACTATAAACAACATATTCCCATTCGTTGCAAACATTTAGAAATGCAGAAAAAATGAGAAGAAAACAAAGATGAACTGTTTCTATCACAGAGATAGTGCTACTAGGATTCTGAAAATAGCCTGTCAGGTGCTTTTCTGTGCATATACAAACTCATACATATACTTTCCGTTGTTTATTCAAAAATGGGTCCACACTACAAGTGTTCAGTAGCTTGCTTTATTTTCCTTGTTATCATACCTTGATCCTTCTTAAAATTATATATAAATCCACCTTATATATACTAATAGATGAGCCAAATTTATTTAACAAATATTTCAAATGGTAGATATTCAGGTTATTTTGAATTTTTTGCTGAGCATGTTTTTGTACACATGCTTGATTATTCAAATAGGATGATTTTCTAGAAGTCAAATTGCTGAGTACAAGGATGTATACTTTAAGGCTTTTGATATACTACAAAGTATTTCAGATCGCTTCTACCATCCACCAGGGGAGAGGTATAAGTATACCCATTTCTCCATGTGTCATGGAGAATGGAGTTTCTTTCTTTTTTTGAGACAGGGTTTCTCCCTGTTGTCCAGGCTGCAGTGCAGTGGCGTGATCTTGGTTCACTGCAACCTCTGCCTCCTGGGCTCAACTGATCCTCCCACCTCAGCATCTCAAGTAGCAGGGACCCAAGGTACATGGCACCACGCCAGGGTAATTTTTGTATTTTTTGGTAGAGACAGGGTTTTGCCATGTTGCCCAGGCTGATCTCAACCTCCTAGGCTCAAGTGATCTGCTTGCCTCAGCCTCCCAAAATTTATTACTGTAACACTGACCATCCTTCCATATTTTCTCCATGCATTTGGATTCCTCTACTAATTATCTATTACATAAGTTCTGACCCATTTTTCCACAAAGTAGTCATCTTTTTATTAATTTTTAACAGCTCTTTTTGATCCCTTCACTTTAACGTTTCTATTCCTTCATTTCCTCATCTATAAAATGAATAAAACCATAGGAAACATGACTTGTAGAAACAGAGATAAATAATGTAAACCACTTAAACACAGTGGTTAATACACAGAAAAGTACATGGCAAATAATTAATGGATTATGGTACTTTCTTTTTAACTTTTTTTTTTTTTGAGACAGTTTCACTCTGTCGCCCAGGCTGTAGTGCAGCGGTGTGATCTTAGATCACTGCAACCTCCACCTCCTACGTTCAAGTAATTCTTGTGCCTCAGCCTCCTGAGTAGCTGGGACTACAGGCGCCTGCCACTGACCCCTGCTAATTTTTGTATTATTAGTAGAGCCAAGTTTTCACCATGTTGGCCAGGCTGGTCTTCAACTCCTGACCTTAAGTGATCTGCCCGCCTCAGCCTCCCAAATTGCTGGGATTACAGGCGTAAGCCAGCACACTCAGCCTTTATTTTTATGCAATCCCATTTATAAATTTTATTTTTCCTTTTTGGTTTCTGGGTTTCCTATCACTTGTGATCTCGATCCCAGATGATATAAATACATTTTATCACAGTATTTTAAAAATGCTTAATGCATTGGCAATTTATTATGATCTAATACGCAAAAAATTCTTGTAAATAAAAACATGGTATCCTTTTAATGTGCTGTGCTCCTGGCATACCACTCTACACTAACTTTCAAGTAGGCAGATGGGATACCGTCACAGTTTCTAATTTCTGAAAAGATTTTTCACTATAATCTTGTTTTATCTGTTAGATGTCTTTGGGGAGATACTGAGAGGAAAACAGTTCAGTGTGTACGTGCTTCAATCCCTTAGTCCTAGAAGACACCGCTAGTTTTCAAATTTTCCCTTCAGAATGAAGATAGCATGTTTTAAAATCCTATCTTTAAAAGCTATCAACTAATGCCTTATGACCTTTAAATACTAATTTTTCAGCTGATTAAGAATGTGACACATTTTTATTTTTTCTTAGAGATAAGGTCTTGCTGTCGCCCAGGCTGGAGTGCAGTGATGTGATCACGGCTCACTATAACCTCAAACTCTGGGCTCAAGCTATCTTCCTGCCTCAGCCTCCTGAGCAGATGAGACTATAAAGTGCACAGCACCATGCACGGCTAATTTTTGTTTGTTGTAAGATAGGGTATTGCTCCATTGCCCAGACTGGAATATAGCGGCATAATCACAGCTCACCGTAGCCTCAACCTTCCAGGCTCAAGTGATTCCCACCTTAGCCTCCCAATTTTTAAATGTTTTGTAGAGACGAGCCTATGTTGTCCAGGCTGGTCTCAAACTCCTGACCTCAAGCGATCCTCCTGCCTTGGCCTCCCAAAGTGTTGGGATTACGGGTGTGAGCCACAGTGCCTGGCCCAGGATGTTACACATTCTTAATAGGACTATCAAATAGCTTTGGTGGCATAAACTTTGCTAAAAGCTTTTATTTCTTAAATTCTACAAGCTTAAATCAAAAGCTATCTTACTGCCAAGGAAACCAATTCACAAAGAAAAATGACTGAAAATTCACTTTGCAAGCACTTAGCCATATTAAAAGGTTCTATCTTCTGTATACATAAACACACACACACACACACACACACACACACACACACACACACACACACACACACATACATATACATATATAAAATAAAGGTCTTACAAATAAAAAAGTTCTTAGAGGCTTACCTTTCAGGAGTGCAGTAAGTATTGCTACATCTATATCTTGATGTTCATCTGACCCAATATGGAAAACAGTGATCTATTTAAAGATAAATTTATAACATTATGCCTTTATATTTTTAAAGCAAAGGCATCACAAAACTCAGTAATTTCCAACTCTATGGGAGGCAAAATACATTATGTATGTATCTAGAAATGTATTATGTATACATAAACATACATACACGTTTGTTTATGTATACAGTTAGTAACTTTTATTTCAACCAAAAAAAAACAAAAAATTTTTAAAGACTTTATCATTTACCAAATAAAATGGCAAGTATATAAAAATATTTGGTTTCATATTATATTCATATTTTGAACTATCTCATGTCCCTTACTAGAGCAAACAATTTAGGGGATGAGGCTACAGATTCCTTATCAGAGTAAATAAATCCTACAGTTCCTTACACAGAATGAAAATTTACATGCTCATATAATGTATGCATTCTTGAATGAGAAATGTTTTAGTCAATCTTTTTATTGTAAATGTCTTTAAATTACTTGAAACATAGCACCATTTCAGAAACTGTAATTTAATAACATTTTTCATAAAGTGAAAGATGGCCAGGCACATGGCTCGTGCTTGTAATTCCAGTACTTTGAGAGGTCAAGGTGGGAGTATCACCTGAGGTCTGGAGTTTGAGACCAGCCTGGCCAACATGGTGAAACACCATCTCTAGTGAAAATATAAAAATCAGCCAGCCGTGGTGGCACACACCTGTAGTCCCAGCTACTCGGGAGGCTGAGGCAGGAGAATCGCTTGCACCCGGAAGGCAGAGGTTGCAGTGAGCTGAGATTGCACCACTGCACTACAGCCTGAGCAACAGAGCAAGACTCTGTCTCCAAAAAAGAAAGAAAAAAAGAAATGAAAGATTATTATACTCCAATAAAAAATTTCCAGCCAACTTTATTTCATAGTTTACAAAAGACAGGAAATCAAATCACGTTATATTATCTATTTATAGGTTTGCTAAAAAATTTTATCTTCGAAAACTTAAGCCCACATTTACATGACTTAAACACCACTGATCTTTAATAGGCTGAAGCACATTTAAGATTTTTTTTTTCAAATATTTTATTAGAGAAGCCATTAACAACTCTTTACAGTTCTTCCTTGGTACTGAACATGATCTGTTGAGCCCTAGTTACTTTCCTAAAACAGAAGCACAAATACACAGTCTCAACGCCATATAAAAAACTACAATCCTCCTATAAAACCTCTCAGTTTGAACAGACCAATAAATGACATATTTATATGGTTAATAAAGATTTCAAAGTTTAAAATCCAAATTGAAAACAAAAGTATTTCACCAACTTAGATGTGCTTTGCAAGAAAGAAAAGGCTTAGCTTTTTAAATTTCTGCTGAAATCTACTTACAAGCTCCTTTCTTTTCATGCACTCCATCAGAGTTTGAAATAAATGAACTGCTTCACTCTGACCAAAATTAAATGTTTTTTTGATAGTGGAAATAATATCGGGCTCTGCTGCATCAGGAAGATTCCTGGAATAAAAGGAAACATAAATTAATTCACTGATTTCATCTTTCATTATTCGTATGATCAATATGAAGTACAGGTAGATCCATGTAAGATCTTGGAAAATAATGTATTAATATTAAATACTTGACCTTAAGTGGGATTATTTTCTCCTTCATGAGGCCACCAATATAAATCTTAAAAGGAAAATATATGAAGTCATTTTTGTCGTTGAACTACTTTATGAATTTTATCAAAAAGTATGTGTGGCAGTATCAGTACTCACATAAGACACTGTATAAAAATAATTTTAAGATACTTATGATGTATAAGGTAGTATTTCACTATGATATTTTTAAACAAAAGCACTCACATTTTTCTTTTTTGAATACTTAATATATTTATACATGGCTCAAAAATATAGTAGAAAATATAAAATGTTAAAATATTAAATTAATAGTGTTAAGTCTCCTTCCCACTGTCTTTCAAATGCCCAGTTCTATCACAACTATTTTCAGGAATCATTTACTCATATAACTTTCCAAAATGTATTTCTGCATACACAAATAATTATCCCCTTTCCTTTTATTACATATAAAATGTGGCACAATATATATGCTTCTCTATACCTTCCTTTTTTCCTGTATATATTTTGGTAATCTTCTCATGTTGTACTTTGTTCCAATCTTTTACTTTTACAAAGAACCCAGTAATGAGTAGCTTTATACATACATTATTTCACAGATGTACATCTGTAGGAACAATTCCCCAAAATGAAACTACTAGGTTAAAAGACAAGTGCCTCTATGTTTGACAGATCTTACAAAACTGTTCCATGAAGATAGTTTTAATTTGTTCCAATAACATATGAGTCAGGTTATTTCCTCAATCATTAACAAAGTATTTTATTAAACTTGAAATTTTCATGTTCATAAAACACAGAGAGGAATCCAACTCTGTATTCGAAAAACCACAAGCCTCTTGAATAAATTCATTAAAATGGGCCAGGCATGGTGGCTCACATGGCCTATAATCCCAGAACTTTGGGAGGCCAAGATGGGTGGATTGCTTGAGGTCAGGAGTTCAAGACCAGCCTGGCCAACACAGTGAAACCCCGTCTCTACCAAAAAATAAAAATAAAAAAATTAAAAAATTAGCTGGACGTGGTGGCTCATGCCTGTAATCCCAGCAACTCAGGAGGCTGAGGCAGGAGAATCACTTGAAACCAGGAGGCAGAGGTTGCAGTGAGCCAAGACTGCACTACTGCATTCCACCCAGGCTGGGACACAGAGCAAGACTCCATCTCAAAAAATAATAATAAAATAAATAAATTCATTAAAATGTTGTCATACACTTACCCTCCTTCTTCTGTTTGTTTATGAATATATGCTAGTAGATCTGCAGCTCTGCCTGTTCCTTCACATACAACTACTGGAACAGGGGGGCTTTCCTGAAGATATTCAAGAACTGTGAGGATAACATTTGGCCCCCCCTCAAATATAAGTGCCACCACAGGGACACCTTGGCCAATTCCTAAAAAGAGCAAAGTTAAATTAAAAAATTATTTCATCCCAAGCAAGTTTCTCTCCAAGAAAAAAATGCAGGCAAAATTCAGTACTCCAATTTTAATTTTACTAAAAATTAAAATAAAAAGCAAAAACATGTCTAAGACTGTGTTGGCCTGACTTTAAGTGCTCCACCTGATACCAGTTCACATAAGTAAATGAAATAATGAATATATTACTTTGTCACTATCTTACAGGCTGTTCTCTAAATGACAAAATTAGAAAATCCAATAGATAATTTAACACACATCAAATAATTTACATGTCCACTACTTAAAAGTAAAAATTTGTTTTCTATATTTTATTGAGCTCTTGACGAGAAATGTAAGACACTAATTTTTTAGTTTGCTTTTTAATACTACATTAGTTGAACTTCTAACATATTATCAGTTTTACTTTTTATCTCTGAGACAGAGTATTGCTCTGTTGCCCAGGCTGGAGTGCAGCGGTGCAATCTCAGCTCACTGCAAACTCTTCCTCCCCAGTTCAAGCAATTCTCCTGCCTCAGACTCCCAAGCAGCTGGAACTACAGGCACAAGCCACCACGCCTGGCTAATTTTTGTGTTTTTATTAGAGACAGGGTTTCACCATATTGGCCAGGCTGGTCTTCAAGTCCTGATCTGTGATCTGCTCGCCTCAGACTCCCAAAGTGCTGGGATTACAGGCGTGAGCCACCACACCCGGCCTGTTTTTATTCATTTTCAAAACATGTATTTCTGATTCCAAATGTGCTGAGACATTAATATAGAAATTAATGACTGTCTCAAATGCCACATGCAGTGTTTGTAAAAAAAGGAAAAATGAAAAAACTTAAAAATTAAAGAAGAAATGGGTGACAGAATTATATAACTGGAACTGATCAATAAAATTCCAAGACCTCTAGAAGAGTAACAGAACAAAATTCGTAAAGAATGTGAATTTTTGCTTTTACAATAACTTGCAGTGCACTGAGAAAATGCAAGCAAGCAAATAAACAAACAAATAAAGGGTAACTGTAGAACTATAAACCATTCTTAACTTTTTTTTTTTTGAGGAGTTTCGCTCTGTCACCCAGGCTGGAATGCAGTGACGAGATCTCCGTCACTACAAACTCTGCTTCCTGAGCTCAAGTGATTCTCCTGTCTTAGCCTCCTGAGTAGCTAGGATTACAGGCACACCCAGCTGATTTTTTGTATTTTTAGGAGATACGGGGTTTCACCATATTGGCCAAGCTGGTCTTGAACACCTGACCTCAGGTGATCCACCTGCCTCAGCCTCCCAAAGTGCTGAGATTACAGGCGTGAGCCACCGCGCCCAGCCTTCTTAACTTTTAGCAAAAGCTCTGATTCCACCAAAATCTGTAAACACTGTTCTATAGTTTTTAAATTTCTATTTCACTTTGTCACAGTGCTCAACTTCTTAGTGTCCTTGGATTACAACTTTTCCTTTATTTGAAATAAAAATTTAGATGTTGAACCAAGAAAATACGGACATGGTTGGAAAGGAAAATCAGTCCCAGGAATACAACTTTTAAGGCACATTTAGCCAAACAGTGATACTCATTTTATAAATTTTAAGCTGATTTCATTCTTTTAGTAATTTTTTTTTCCCTTTTAGTTTTCAATCTTGAATTTCATAGCCTTGTATTGGAATAAATCACACATTAAGAATATTTATGAATTCCTTGGGCTGCAATGGGACTGCAATAACAACAGGGCTTCCAATGAACCTTTTTGGTTTTAGCCTTCATAACTGAGTGCCCAATTCTGACTCCTTTTCCTTGGTCTTATCACTTTGTCTAAAATCAACCACTGTTGGTTTTTTCATATATTATCTTGCTATGTAAGAAAATGCACTTCAAAGAACATTCTATCTTCTTAGAATACTGTTGGCTATTAATACAGCCCAGAACAATTCCAACAATAACAAATTTGTGAATTCCCTTACTAGCATGAATTCTTTGCTGATTAATAGTTTTTTCAAGTTCTCTTCTCAGTCTGACTTCTGCCCCATACTTTCCAACGGTGCCATCATCCACCAATATGAAATGAGAATGTAGATTATTCAAAACATTCAATTTGCTCAGGGGGTTCAACAAGGTTTGATAAGGAGCAACCACCTAAACAACAGCAAACATAAGAGTTAGTGAGCAGGATTAAATACAGTATAATGTAAAATAAATTTTGAAATAATCTGTAAAGACAAGAAATAAAATTCTATTTTACATACAGAAATAAATATGAAATAACAAAGAATGTATCAAAAAGCATAAAATTTTAAGCAGCTGAAGATTAATCAATGAGTTGAAACACATGATTATATCTTGACCAGTATTACAAAATTATACATTTCATCATCACATGCAAAGAGAGAAGCAGTAAATGAGTAAATAGTGCAAAGAAACTATTATCAGATTAAGTGAATAAACTACAATACATAAAAGACATTGGGCCTGGGCATGGTGGCTCACGTCTATAATCCCAGCACTTTGGGAGGCTGAGGAAGGTGGATCACCTGAGGTTAGGAGTTCAAAACCAGCCTGGCCAACGTGGTGAAACCCTGTCTCTACAAAAACTACAAAAATTAGCCTAGGATGATGGCAGGCACCTGTAGTCCCAGCTACTCAGGAGGCTGAGGCAGGAGAATCATTTGGATGCGGGAGGCAGAGGTTGCAGTGTCCCCAGATCTTGTCACTGCACTCCAGCCTGGGCAACAAGAGCAAAATTCCATCTCAAAAAAAAAAACAAAGTCACAGTAAAAAACAATAAAATGTCATATTATTTTTCTAGCCATGAGTAGATTCTTTAAAGCTAACATTAGAAATTTAGTAAGACATTGTTATAATTCAGTAACTGCATGTATTAATTTATTTATGAGACTGATTTTGCTTTGTCACTCCAGGCTGGAGTGCAGTGGTACAATCTCAGCTCACTGCAACCTCTGCCTCCCAGTTTCAAGCAATTCTCCCACCTCAGCCTATCGAGTAGCTGGGGAGGCCTGTGCTACCATGCCCAGCTAATTTTTGTATTTTTAGTAGAGATGGGGTTTCACCATGTTGGCTAGGCTGGTCCTGAACTACTGATCTCCAGTGACTGGCCCACCTCATCTTCCAAAGTGCTGGGATTACAGGTATGAGCCACGGCGCACAGTCAGTAATTCTTTTTAATAGTCTTGATAAACATCTATAACCAATTCACACATCTTTAACCTATTCAAACAAAACACTAGTATTTGACTCCTACTTCCTATTCTTAGAATAAAGTTCTTACGTAGTCATTAAAAATTTAATTACAAAGACTAGTATACATGAAAAACATGAAATAACTTTATAAAAGACTAAAAGCAAAATGTGCCAACACTATAACAGCATTTAAACTTATGAACTTATTTATAGTTATAAATTATTTATATTTATGCATTTTCAAAAAGATCAGAAGAAATCCTCAGGAAAATGCTTTTTGAACTTAATTTGAAAAGTATAATATAATCACAAATATTTTAAACTGGCACTATTCTTACTATAATTTTATTTATACATAATTTCAAACATAAGAAATTTTAAAAATAATTCTTACATCTCTCCCAACAAGATCATTTCTGTTTTCAATCACTCCCCATGGAGCTATTCCGATAGTGCAAATCTTTCGAGATGATCTGGAAGCATGTTCTTTGAGGGCATCGCCAACATGTTTTGCCACACCTGTTCATAAAAAATTTTATTAATTTTGTTATTTTTATTTTCTTGGAGACAGTGTTCCCCAGGAAAGAATGCAGTCGTGCAATGACAACTCACTGCAGCCTCAAACTCCTGGATTCAAGTGATACTCCCTTCTGAACCTCCCAAGTAGGTAGACTACAGGTGCATGGTAACACAGCCTGCTAATTTGTTTTTTGTTTGTTTGTTTTGTTTTTGGTAGAGACAAGATCTTCCCATGTTGTCCAAGCAGGTCTTGAATTTTGGGCTCATGTGATGGTCCTGCCTCAGCCTCATAAAGTTCTGAGATTACAGCCTTTATTCCATTCAAAACAATCCTGTGCTCAATCTGTAACACTATAATATGTGATATATTTGTTTATACATACAAGACATAAAGCAACAATGTCATAACAAACTTAAAACAAGGTCATAGCCAAACCTACAAAAGAATATACCAGGACCAGCCAGGCTTGGTGGCTCACGCCTGTAATCCCAGCACTTTGGGAGGCCAAGGCGGGCAGACATTAAGGTCAGGAGTTTGAGACCAGCCTGGCCAACATGGTGAAACCCTGTCTCCACTAAAAATACAAACATTAGCAGGGCGTGGTAGAGGGCACCTGTAATCCCAGCTACTTGGGAGGCTCAGGCAGAAGTGCTTGAATCCGGGAGGCAGAGGTTGCAGTGAGCCGAGACTGCACCACAGGACTCCAGCCTGGGGTGACAGAGCGAGACTCCGTCTCCAAAAAAAAAACCAAAACCAAAACCAAAAAAAACCCCACAAGGACACAAAAGGAACAAAACCCACTAAACCCCGTAATATCAAATCACAACTGCCAGAAACACATATAACACTAACTTTTACCACGTTATTACATCTAGTCCGTTTTTGCATTTTTCCTATAAGTAACTGTAGTTTTCTATTATTCTTCTACACATCATTTAGAAAATATTAAGAATACAGCTCAGTGGCACAGGGCCATACACAAAACACACACACAAACAATAAACAACTACGAAAGTCTCTTTTCAGTCAAAAATGAGGGAGAAAAGTAATAAAAGGCAGTTCCAAGGAACACGTAACTCCTTATTATCACTTCTTTTTTTTTAGGGAGGGAGACGAGGTCTCACTCTATTGCCCAGGCTGGAGTGTAGTAGTGTGATCGTGGCTTGGCTCACTATAGCCTTGTCATCCCAGGCTCAAGCAATCCTTCCACCTCAGTCTTCCAAATAGTTATGATGGTAGGCACATACCACCATGCCTGGTTATTCTTTTTTTTTTTTTTTTTTTTTTGGTAGAAACAGTGTCTTACCATGCTGCCCAGGCTAGTTTTGAACTCCTGGGCTCAAGTGATCCTCCCACCTCAGCTTCCCAAAGTGCTGGGATTACAGGCATGAACCACCATGCCTGGCCCATTATTACTTCTTACGGTCTGAATTGTGTCCGCTAACTTCCAATACCTCAAAATATGACTGTAGCTGGAGACAGGGCCTTTAAACATGTGATGATACCTCAAAATATTACGGTACTTAGAGGCAGGGCCTTTAAATAGGTGAGAATTAATTTAAAATGAGGCCTCTGGAGTGGCCCTGAATATCCAACTGGTGTTTTGTTTTGTTTTTTTAAGACAGAATTTTATTCTTGTTGGCCAGGCTGGAATGCAGTGGTGTGGTCTCGGCTCACTGCAGCCTCAGCCTCCCGGTTCAATTGATTCTCCTGCCTCAGCCTCCCAAGTAGCTGGGATTAAAGGCATGCGCCACCATGCCCAGCTAATTTTGCATTTTTAGTATAGACGGGGATTCTCCATGTTGGTCAGGCTGGTCTCGCCTCGGCCTCCCAAAGGGCTGGGATTACAGGCGTGAGCCATCGCGTCTGGCCGTCAACTGGTAATCTTACAAAGAAATTTGAATACAAAAGGAAACACCCAGAAATGCCTATACACAGGAGGCCATGAGAGGAAGGACACGACATGAAGGTGACCATCTGCAAGCCAGAGAGAGAGACCCCAGGAGAAAGCAAATCTGCTGATACTTACTCCTTGACTTTTAGCCTCCCAAACCATGAGAAAACAAATTTCTGTTGTTTAAGCCACCCAGTCTGTGATATTTTGTTATAGCAGCCCTGGCAAACTAATCCATCACTCAATGTGATCTCCATAACGTATAAGATTTCATCCCTCACCCAGATTATGAAAATAGCATCTTCACAGGTCTTTCAACTGCTTCCCTGCCTACTTACGCTACATTTCGAAAACGTCACCCAAGTGATCTTTGCAACTGTTGACTCTCTACTTAAAACCTCTTCTCATTCAGAACAGAAGCCAAAGTGCTTATAATGGTCCACAAGGCCTCACGTGATGATCTGCCTTTGTCTTTACTAGTTACCATGTTTCTCTAACACCATACATCAGTAACTTCTGACTTCATCACCTGGCACTCTTTGCTTATTCCACTCAAGGTATATTAGACTGTTCTTACTATTCTTCCAACACACAAGCCATCTCCTCCCCTTTACGTGCTCTGCCTTATATTTTTCTTATATTTTGCTTCCTCATTTCCTTCTCTCCTCAAATGTCACCTTATCAGCTCTCCTTGACCATGTAACAAAATAGTAGCCCTTCCATCATCCCTCACTATTCGTCTTCTTGACTTCATGTGTCTGCATAACACTTGTCAACATCTAACACGTTATACATTACTGAGTTATCTGTTTCTTATCTGCATCTCCCCTACTAAAATATAAGTTCCATGAAGGTAGATATTTTTACTGTTTTATGGAATGATAAATTCTTAGCCTGAAAAATGTCTGACACAATCAGGTTCAAAAGTGCTGGGATTACAGGCTAACACCTATAATCCCAGCACTTTGGGAGGCCAAGGCGGGTGCATCACCTGAAGTCAGGAGTTCAAGACCAGCCTGACCAACATGGCAAAATCCCATCTCTATTGAAAATACAAAAATTAGCCGCTTATGGCGGCAGGAACCTGTAATCCCAGCTACTCGGGAGGCTGAGGAATGAGAATTGCTTGAACCTGGGAGGTGGAGGTTGCAGTGGGCTGAGATGGCACCAATGCACTCCAGTCGGGGTGACAGAGCATGACTCTGTCTCAAAAAAAAAAAGTTGCTGATTATGAATTAGATGTTTGCAAGCTGACTTAAACAAATGCTTTAGACACTGAAATTAATCTGACCTCCTTATAATTGAACTGTATAGGTGATAGGGAAGATACAGAATAAAAGACAGTAGTATATTACAAATTAATTTTTGAAAGTTACTTCTTACTGCTGGTGAGGCAATGGATTGCCATTCTTGTACCCATTTACCACTAGTCGGAAAGTTTGCTCTATAGTAGGGTCAAAAACCTTTTTGTAAAAGGCTAAACAGTATTTTAAGCTTACTGGGGCATACCGTCTCTGTCACAACTATTCACCTTTGCTGTTGTAGCACAAAAATAGCCACAGACAATACATAAACTAATTAAGCTTTGTGTCCCTATCCAAATCTGATCTTGAATTGTAATCCCCATAATCCCCAGGTTTCTAGGGAGAGACCAGGTGGAAGTAACTGAATCATGGGAGTGGTTTCTCCAGTGCTGTCCTGGTGATAGTGACTGAGTTCTCACAAGATCTGATGGTTTTATAAGGGGCTCTTCCCTCTTCACTAGGCATTTCTCCTTCCTGCCGCTTTGTGAAGAAGGTGCCTTGCTTCCTCTTCACCTTCCAACACGATTCAGTTTCTTGAGGCCTTCCCAGTCATGCCGAACTGTGGGTCAATTCAACCTCTTTCCTTTATAAATTACCCAGTCTCAGGAAGTTCTTTATAGCAGAACGAAAATGAGCTAATACAGTAAATAAATGAGTGTTCCAATAAATCTTTATTCAAGGTTTCGGCTGGATTTAGCACACAGGCTATAGTTTCTCAAACTCTGCTCTAAAGTGCTTTTTTTTTTCCTTTTTTTAAACTCAAATTTCCCTAGCTTCATCAGAATCTAAAGTGTTTTTTTAAGACAAAATAACCAAACAAGTTCTATTAACATTTTTACCTACAAACTCTAGATTATTAAACAAAAGAGTTAAATATGTCTATATTCAGTGATCTTTATTTCAAATATCTAATTGATATTATGAAAAAATTTAAAACACACTAAAATTGGTATAATCATCACATTACCTGTGTTTACTCCTCCAGTTAAAATCCAGGCTCCGGTTGTAACTGCAGCTTTAATAAGACCTTTTCCAAGCAACTGCTTGATTCGTGGGTGAAGCTCAAATTTCTGCATGCCCCCATGTACAGAGATAACAAGTTTGGGTAATTCCATTTGCCATTCTTTAAGCAGAAGTTGCAGAATGACTTCAGGTTTGGTGTCGTATGATAGCCTCACATACTAAAAAAAATTTTTTAAAGGACAAAATAATAGAACATGTTCATAGGTTTCATAATGCAACATTATACAACTTTGGAAAATTTCATATGAATCAGATTACGTAAAAGGAGATTTTATAGGCTACTTTGAATATATTTATACTCCAAAAAATAAGCAATAGCAAATGAAAAAATCATTCTGTGAGATCTACAGAAATAGTGAAACTAACTTTTAAACATTTAGACACAAATGTTACTCTTTCTGTTTAAACTCAATTACCATTGACTCAATTCACCAAGGTACCTGAAGTATTTATTGCCTTCTTTAACTATGACTACACAGTGAGTGAGAAGCATTAGACTGGCAGAAGAGGATAGGAAAAGAAAAAAAAAAAGAGAACTGTGGCAGAAAAAAATGAAGGCTTCTAAGACTCTTGCTACGAGAAGAGGCAAACAGTGAATTACCTGTTTGAAAGTCTGTCAATTATCTAGTCCATTTATAAACAACTGTGACTCTGGAGTATAATTTAAAAAGATATTTTTAATATAGATGATTTTCTTCGCTGGAAGTAACAGTGGATTTGATCAAATTGGGAAATAATCAGAAAATCCTAATCAACATTTCATAGTGTTTAGGTTGCGGTCGCGCCGCGTGTTTAGGTGGATTCTCCACCTAAATTTTTCCAATTTTTGAAAAAATCTTTCATTAGGAAAATAGAAAAAAGCTATCATGTGTAAAATAACTTCCTCTGGTTTGGAATATTTTAAAAATTAACTTCCTGTTTAAGTAGTATCATAAGATGTACTTGCTACATCAACATTAATTCATTCTCCTGGCCTAAAGCACATATATGAATTAGCTCCTAAGAAACTTGAAATACTCAGACATTGAGACATTTAAAAATCATCTCTAAGAAACCATATTTGCAAAATGATGTATTTTCCATTCCTTTACAAGTATCAAATACCACTGAAAATCTCAGTACTGACAAACAAATGAAACCAAATGCCTGGGCGCAATGGCTCACTCCTAATCCCAGCACTTTAGAAGGCCAAGGCAGGTGGATCTCCTGAGCTCATCAGAGACATGGTTTTGCCATGTTGGTCAGGCCGGTCTCAAACTCCTGACCTCAGGTGATCCACACACCTCAGCCTCCCAAGGTGCTGGGATTATAGCCACCATGCTCAGCCAGCTTTGTTCTATATCAAGTCTTTCTGTTTCAGTTTTGTTTGACTCATTATTATACTTGGGCACATAAACAGTATCAGAGAAGCAGTCTAAAGTTAATGTTTTTAAGACTATATTAGAAATAAATGAAAAATTCCACATCCTACAGTGATGGGCTAGGTTGGTTTGGACATACTCTGTCCCCTGGGAACTAGAAAAACTAGAAAAAAAAGAGTAATACCTGCTTTAAAACATTAGCAGGTGGCCGGACACGGTGGCTCACACCTCTAATCCCAGCACTTTGGGAGGCCAAGGTAGGTGGATCACTTGTCAGCAGTTCAAGGCAGCCTGGCCAACACGGTGAAACCCTATCTCTACCAAAAATACAAAAAAATTAGCTGGTCGAAGCGGCAAGAGCCTGTTATCCCAGCTACTCGAAAGGTTGACAGGTAGGAGAATCGCTTGAACCTAACAGGCAGAAGTTGCAGTGAGCTAAGATCGCACCACTGCATTCCAGCCTGGTCGACAGAGCGAGACTGTGTCTCAGAAACAACAACAAAAAGACATTATCTGGGTACAAAGGCAGTAAGAACTTGGGGGATCAGGATCCAAGAGAAAAGGAAACCTTGGAGAGATGATGAGCTCACTGTTTGGCACAGTTTTTTTCTCATCAGAACACAGAGGCAGGCAGAGCAATGTAGAGGTTAAAATGGTTTTTGTTGTTAGTATTTGTTTGTTTTTCAGACAGGCCCTTGCTCTGCTGTCCAGGCTAGAATGCAGTGACATGGTCAGGGCTCAATGCAGCCTTGATTCCTTAGGCTCAAGAGATCCTCCCACTTCAGCTAGAGTACAGTGACACAGTCAGGGCTCAATGTAGCCTCGACTTCTTAGGCTCAAGAGATCCTCCCACTTCAGCCTCCCAATTAACTGGGACTACAGGTATGTACCACCATGCCCAGCTAATATTTTTGAATTTTAGTAGAGACAAGGTCTCACTATGTTGCCCAGGCTGGTCTGACACTCCTGAACTCAAGTGATCTTCCCGCCTAGGCCTCCAAAAATGCTGGGATTACAGGTATGAGCTACCACACCAAGGTTAAAATGTCTAAATCTAAACAAATAATAACTATGTTTTGAGGGTTTGAAATAAACAGAAAATTAAAATTTATGCTGACAAGAACACATAAGTCTTAAGAGAAATAAATGCAGTTACAAATATTCTAAAAGTTCTTGCATTGTTGAAAAAGTGGTAAAGGACTAATTTATAGTACAGTCATGTGCTACACACTTTGATCAATGACAAATTTCATACATGAGGTGGTTACATAATATTATAATACCATACCTTCTATATCTTTTTCTATGTTTAGATATATTTAGATACATATTTACCACTGTGTTATACCTGCCCACTGTATTCAGTACGATAACACGCCATAGAGGTTTATAGCCTAAAAGCAATAGGCTATATACCACATAGCCTAGACGTAGTAGGCTATACCATCTAGGTCTGAATACACTCTATGGTGTTAGCATGATGAAATTGCCTAACCCATCTCTAAAAACATATCCTCATTGTTAAGTGATGCATGACTGCACAAGATAAGTTTAAAAATGAATTTTATCACATTTATTATAATATTCTTTTTCTTTTTTTGGTTGTTTTTATTTTTGAGACCGAGTCTTGCTCTGTCACCCAAGCTGGAGTGCAGTGGCATGATCTCGGACCATTGTAATCTCTACCTCCTGAATTTAGGCCATTATCCAGCCTCAGCCTGCTGGTAGCTGGGACTAAAGACTTGTGCCACCACACATGACTAATTTTTGTATTTTGAGTAGAGAAGGGGTTTCACTACATTGACCAGGCTGGTCTCGAACTCCTGACCTCAGATAATCCAGCCGCCTTCACCTCCTAAAGTGCTGGGAGAGGCATGAGTCACCGTGCCTGGTCAACATTCTTTTTCTAAATAATAGAAAAAGAATGTATAGTAGGCCTTTTATATCCATGGAATCTACACTTATGGTTTTAAGCAACCGTGGATCAAATATACTCAAGAAAAAAAACTGAGCCTGTACTAGCCATTATTTACTTGTCATTATTCCCTAAACAATGCAATTTGCCGGGCACAGTGGCTCACGCCTGTAATCCCAGCACTTTGGGAGGCCAAGGCGCGTAGATCACGAGGTCAGGAGTTCAAGGTCAGACTGACCAAAATAGTGAAACCTTGTCTGTACTAAAAATACAAAAATTAGCTGGGCATGGTGGCAGGCACCTGTAACCCCAGCTCCTCAGAAGCTTGCGGCAGGAGAGTTGCTTGAACGTGGGAAGCGGAGGTTGCAGTGAGATGAGATTGTGCTATTGCACTCCAACCTGCGCAACAAGAGCAAAACTCCGTTTCAAAAATACAAAACAAATCAAAAAATGCAATTTAACAACTATTTATACAGCATTTACACTGTGCCGGGCATTTTATTAATATTTTTATTTTAAGTAGAGACGGAGTCTCACTATTTTGCCCAGGCTGGTCTCCAACTCCTGGCCTCAAGCCATTCTCCCATATTCTCAGAAGTGTTGAGATTATAGGCATGAGCCACTGAGCTTGGTCTATATTAGGGATTATAAGGAATCTAGAGATGATTTAAAGTATACAAGAGGGGGTGCATAGACTATATCTAAATACCATGATATCTGTAGACTTTGGTATCTGGGGGAAGTCTTGAAACCAAGCCCCCTGAAGGATGACTGTATAAATAATAAGCTAATAAAGGAGTAAGAAAATAATAAAAAAATACTTAATACTTAAAAATAAAAAAATAGTTAATCCAAAATAATGTAAGAAAAAAAAAAAACAGAACAAAGATAAAAGTGAGACAGATAACTAATAACATAATGGTAAATTTACACTTAAATACACAGGAGACAACATTTTTAAAAACAATGAAAAGAGATCTTTGAAACGTAAGAAAAGGTTAAAAGTGTATACTCCAAGAATGTTAAGTTGCTGGCAAAAAAAAAAAAAAAAGAAAAGAAAAGAAAGAAAGAAAGAAAGAAAAGGTTAAACCTGAAAAGGAAGAAAGAAAGATAGCTTAGGCCGGGCGCGGTGGCTCACGCCTGTAATCCCAGCACTTTGGGAGGCCGAGGCGGGTGGATCACGAGGTCAAGAGATCGAGACCATCCTGGTCAACATGGTGAAACCCCGTCTCTACTAAAAACCACAAAAAATTAGCTGGGCATGGTGGCGCGTGCCTATAATCCCAGCTGCTGGGGAGGCTGAGGCAGGAGAATTGCCTGAACCCAGGAGGCGGAGGTTG